GTGAGTTAGTGGTTTATATATATATATATATATATATTGTAATCACACTTTTCAAGTTATTTTGACCCATGCATCATAATCATGCATCTCATTCTTTCTCAGTCATATTCTATTTTCTCTTTCATATATTACATACTTTCGTAATAAATCAACATTTCAATTATTCATGTGAATTTACCTAATTTGGACATATATCCGCTATCAAATTATATCTATACTCATTGCATCATGCCAATCTAACATAAAAAATTATCACACAATATCACACCATACAATCAGTACAATATGCCGAAGGTCAAACACCTTCAGACTCAGTTCAATTCGTACAATCTCAATATGGTCTTCAAATCTAAAGTTCAGTATTTTGTGTATTTAATTACTTAACTCGTATACATCCTAGGTAACTTAGTCCTAAAACTTCTTAAGGTTTTAACCTATAACTTTTTCTAAGAATCTGATTTCATTAATTTCAAATAAACCCAAAACCTTTCTTTATACCAAAAATACACTTTCACCATATGATTTCATAAAAATTTATAGATTATTACTAAAATAGGTTTCTCAGTTTCTCACAGGGTCACTATATATATAAAACTAAGGCTCAAAAATGAGTTCTTTGAGAGATTTAATAGAGAAGTTCTATGATATCAACGAAAATATGGTCCACAAGATGAAGTTTTCTAAGTATTTCAAGATAGATATCTTAATATGAGAAGAAAACTAAAGGAAAGGAAAAAAAAACTAGAGATCTTAGCTCTGAAAAACTTACTTGGATTCGAATGAAATGATGTTTGAGCTCAGATCTAGAAGAGATTCAAAGTTTGAAAAAGTTCTCCCTTGAGAGAGGAAGGAGAAAGAACAGAGAAAACAAAAAGAGAAGATTATTTGGTGAGAAATAAATGTTTTTGAAGCTAGAGTTCCTTACATATCCTTACAAACTCGCGCGACCTCACTTGAGTGATAAGATTCTCACTTGAGCGAGATCCACCCTTGCCTGGACGAGACAACCAGACAGCAAAACTACTTATCTTTCTGATATTCTTTCTTGAGCGAAATACAATCTCGCCTGAGCAAGCTCTACCTAGCTTGAGCGAGATCGAGTCTATAGTGCACCCTATATTTCCTGTGACTCCTTATCTAGGCAAGCTGCTCCCAGCCTGAGCGAGACCCCTTTCTCGCTTGAGCAAGAGAGTTCCAAAATGCTTTATTCTAGAAATTCCTACCTTACTTAGCAAGATCTACCTCGCTTGAGCGAGATCTACCTCGCTCGGCTTGAGCGAGATCTATCTTGCTTGAGCAAAATACTTTTTTATCCAAATTTCTATTTTTCCTATACAAGAGTAACAAAATTGAGGGTGTTACACCAATCATCAATATTTGAATAATTCATCAAATTTTTAGCAATCACATATTTCATTGAATATTCTAATTAATTATATTAACTTATAAATTTAATTCAATGAAAAGAATAAAAAAGCTTTTAACTTTCTCTATGAGTCAATGACTCATCAAAGTACTCTGTAGGTAAACCATACAAAGTTATTAACATAAAAAGTGTTTATTGGTTCTCCAATTCCATGGCAGCAGTTGTAGCAGGAGGCAAAACTTTATTGAAATCATGAAGAAGACCACTTATACAACCTAAATAGGTTGACAGAGTGCCATTAAGTTTTCAAGCTGCAAACATTCATAAGTATTTGACATGTTCTATATAGACTATGTTTGTCATTAGTGTAAAGTGACTTGGCTTGTGACCAAATTGATTCACACGTATTATGAGAGCAAAAAATTTGCTTAATAGATAGATGAATAGTAGACTTGATGACATTACAAAGTTGACATCAATCTTACTTCATTTAGTACGTTAAGTTGCATTCATAATTTCTTCTGCAGTAGTGAGATGATTAAGATAATCTTGACTTTTGAGACAAAGTTTGATGTCAGAGGCTCAAAGATTAGAGTTACTATCATCCAACTTGTGAGTAGACAACAAAGCAGTGACAATGTTGGTGAATATCCAAGCTTCAGGTTTAGCAAGAGTTGGAGTCACCATAGATCAGCTTAGAACACAACCAAACAATGAAAAAATAGGGTAAACAACACAAGTCAAAAATCAAATAGAGAAAATAATTATAGACCCAAAACCAGCTCAGAAAAGTGAGTCTAGCTAACAAAGAAAGCGGTTAGAAAGTTGCTGATCGCATAATAGGCAAAAGTTTATTAAAATCATGAAGAAGACCACTCATATAGCCCAAATAGGCTGACATAGTATCATTAAGTTTCCAAGCGGCAACCAACCATGAGTGTTTAACATGTTCTATATAGACTTTGTTTGTCATTAGTATAAAGTGATTTGAATACTTGTGACCAAACTAATTCACACATATTATAGGAGTGAAAAATCTACCTAACAAATAGATTAATAGTGGACTTGATGACACTGCAAAATTAAGCATAAATTGTACTCTGTAATACATTAATTAAATTTTCAAATAAATAAATTTCACAAAATTGGGAATAATTCAGCTAGTTCCTAACACATAGTTTCAATAACATCTTTCAAAATAAGGATGGATTACAATTTGAAACAAGTAATTACTACAGGATTTAATTAATATATTTTAGTTCTAAAAATAAATATTTTAAGCCCTATAGCATTATCATCCATCCCTTCACTAAGTGTGATACTGATCGTCTTAGTCACAAATAAGGATGGATTACAATTTGAAACAAGTAATTGCTACAGGACTTAATTAATATATTTCAGTTCCAAAATAAATATTTTAAGCCCTATAGCAGTATCATCCATTCTTTTACTAAGCTGGATATTAATCATCTTGGTCACCTGAAAAATAAATGTAAGTGTGAATACTCTACACAATCACACACACATAAACAAGTATAGAGTCTCAATTTACCCATTCCACACATTTTCTAACATATTTTAAATCATGCATCAACAAGTACAAGACATTAATTTTAACATTTTATTCTCAATCACAAATAGGTGTGCTCACTGTACTATCAAACATTCATTATACAACACTTATGTGCACTAACTGCATGCTAACCACGCTCATTGTGGCACTATGATCACAGTTTCCTCAGCCCTCAACCTTAAATACTTACTCAGTTCACATCATGAATAGTCACCAGATAACTCCTGCCCCATAGATACTACTTGTGCGATACTGAGCCCCCAAAGCAAAGGTGTTAGTCAAAGGCTGAGTCATAAGGAGAGTGTGTAGACTGTGGTGCACTCATGCTCACTGTTGGTGTCACCACCACTCTCTCTTCCTCGAGGTATTTCTACCGCCTCCATCTTCCACACTCCAGTGTATTGCTAAACTAGTCATAGTTTTCTAACATTTCAAACATCATCACAATCACATCCAACATGTCATTCACACATATTTTCAACCATTCAAATTATTTTGCATAAAGCGATGGCATGCTAACACATAATTTCACCACGATCTCAATCACATCACAATATTCACTTTCATACATGGCACGTAGACCCACATTCAATTACATCACACTCAAACATCCAATTTTCATAGAGAGCCTACCATAGTCAAGCCATTTCATCACACACATGTTCAATATTCATTTCATTATGCTCAATAAAAAATCTTCTATCAAAACACGCCTCTCTCTAAATTTCATCTCAACCACATTATATTATCTATCAATATAAATGGATTAAAGACACAACGAGATAGGGTAGAATCTCCACTTACCTCAAATCGAAGACCCAATACAATCTAACGATAGAAAATGTCTCCCACGCAATATCTCAACCTAAATACATAGAGGAAATCTATGAAAAATCGAGAAATCAAGAAGAGGAACAAAAAATCGAAAACCCTAACTCACAAACTTACCCCCAAACACCCTAAACTCATTTTCAACTTTTAATCTAGCTTCCAAACGGCTTTAGAAACAATTTAATCGAAAAGAATGAGTTGATGGCGGAAAGAATTGAAAGAGAGATGAGTGAAAGGGCGAGAAATGAAGTTTCTCGAACCCTAAACCCTTCAAATACTCTCTGAGTCACAACACTCTTGCTTCAATAAAACTGAATCCAGAAATGCAACTACAACCAATATTTTCAATCAATTCTACCACATCTAATCTCTCAATACATAACCAACATCCATAATTATACATACATACATACATATATATATATATTTCATCTATACATATTCACATCATCATACTCATTAAATACCCAAAATTCACAATTTATATTAGTATATAAAATATCATTACAAAATTTAAGACGTTACGTACTCCATTTAGTATGTTCAATTGCATCCACAATTTCTTCTTTAGTAGTAAGATGGTAGAAATAATCTTGACTTTTGAGACAATTTGATATTAGAAGCCCAAAAATCATAGTTACTGTCATCCAACTTATCAATAGACAACAAAGTAGTGACAGCAAGGACTAATTCTTAATTTACCCATTTTATAAGGACTAATTCTCAACAAAAATATTTGTAAAAACTGATTACAAAAATGTCTATATTTATTAAGACCAAAAATATAATTAAGCCAAAAAAAATATTACACATGGACCCATAGAGAAAGGACAAATTAAAATTTCCTTCTTGTTAAGCTCTGAATACCATGTTAAGATAAGAAAAAATGTGAAAAAAAAATTACATGTATTTTAACTACACCACAAAATATATATTTATATTAATAGTAATAATAATAATCAACTACAAAATTAAGAACAAGTATATAATTACTTAATTACTATAATTACATAAATATTATTTCCCTAAATAACATATTTATGTATATTTAACATTACTTAAATTTACTTCACGTGGTACCTGGAAGTTGGCGGAAAAAAAAGAGACAAGAAAAGAGCAATAACAAAACATCCAAATCCAATAGATTACTTAAAGTATTGAATAACATCTCTACAGTAAAAATATTGCTCTCGCCAAAGAAAAATAGTTTACTTGCACAAAAATAAATGAAATAATAAAATAACTCATTTAAGCACAGGTAAAGAAACAAAATAAAATCATATTATACAAGCGTTGGTAATATTTACATCCCCGAACTAAATAACAGCAGCAAAATATACATAATGTATGATATACAAGGTATACTAACTACTTCTGTGTTGAGTTGCTACATCAAAATCTGCTGACTTTGGCTAAGAGGAAAGGGTTCTTAAGGCTGGCATTGTAAAGAACTGTGACAAATGTGTAACATGGAGAGAGAGGGTACACAAAAAAATTAAATGAAGATATTGAGCTGCTTTTTATTTTCCTTCCTCGACAATTTACACAGGCAAAAAGAGCGGTAGCTCCAATTTATGGCCCACTTTGATTAGCATTGGGCTGTAGTGGAAACTCTTCAAAATTTCCAGAATGGAAACAAATTAAACCGTAACCTACTTCATATTAGCCCGATGCAGGATCCGTCCACAGCCCCACGCTTTACCTTTCCCTTTCTCCATAGCAGACAGTAAAACATGTAACAAGTTGGCTGCATCTTCAGGGTATGCTAGTTCCAAGTTTGTCTGAGGAAGTGGAAGATGAGTTGCATAATGGTTCCAACGCACAGCTTTGGTTCTGCCAACGCTGCCTCTCTTGGGAGAATGTTGACTTTTCCTCAATAAGGAATCTGGCCTACTACCAACTATGTGTACCACCCCTTGACTACAGTCAGCATGTATTATACTCTCCAATCCAATCTCCCATTCAATTATCCACTCCAAATCAGCAGGGATGCCACAAAATTCAGGCTTGCCCAAGTTTATCAGACTTGGACTGAAAACAACAAGCACAAATCTTTCTGTCAAAACAACGAACTTACCAGCTTCTTTAAGGGCTTTGCAAACCACTAACTTCTCATCGTTGAACTTTAAGCCATCTTCAGCTTCCACAAGTACAGATGTTCCAACTGCTTCTTCCCATGAATAAGGTCTTAGAGGAAATTCACGGCATAGTGGCCTTCGAAACCGGACCCTAAAGCGTTGTGATCTTAATTGGCCAGGTTTACTACGGTTTCTAATACTGAGTGCAGTTTTGCCAGTAACTTCAAGTATACTAGCAGCAGGTTTAGCCACAAGTCCTGTAATCCCTAAAGCAACTCCTGCGGTAAAGAAAGAAGAAAAAGAAAGCAGTAAGTTGAAAGCAAAGTGACTATTCCTTCCCAAGCAATCATTGCCAATAACTATTCTTAAATTCCCTTCAAATTTGTAAGAAACTACAAAACAATTCATTCAAGTTGATTCACCAGAGAGGACACCAGGAAGACCATGCCTCTCAGCTCCTCTTACAGGTGACTGGAGAAGACCTGTGAGTCCCTATAAATAACATAGGAGAGGAGAAAAGACATTAATAATACGAACATATAAAAAATATTCACATAATAACGTTCATAAAAATATTAATGCATTGAAAGCATTATTAAATCTAGTAGTGGACAGGCAGAAAACAAAATTCAAACAAATGCATTAATACAAATTCAAGTTAGGTTAAGCATTACACTAGGATTAAAATGTGTTAGGACCCAAGGTGCAGTTATAGACCACTTAGTAGATGGTAGAAGGCATGGGCCAATCAGAACTATACATCAAGATTTGCTAAAAAATATTAAACAAACTTTCACAGAAATGGTCTGGAAACATCATTTATCGACACATCAAAAGTGGCAAGAAGCCTGCAGCATTAGTCAACCCAAAAGGTATTACTACAAACTCATAATACCCATCATGAGTGTGAAATGTGAAAAGCCATTTTGTGATATCCTCTTCTCTTATTCTAAAGTGAGAGTTGTGAAAATGAAAATGTAAGATGGATGAGTGATGAGTGATTACACAAGAAATGTTACAATAAGAAATGACCACATACAAAAAATTATTGGAGTATCACCAATTATGAAAAGAAGGCTACTGCAGACACCAATGAAGAGAGTGGATGACATGACCGAGTCCAGTGAAAATGGGTAGAAAGAGACCTAGAAGAACTTGGAAAAAATTATTGAAAGAGATCTTACGGTTAATAATATCTTAGAGAATTTAGTTTTTAACCGAGTACAACATCATGTAATCCATGTAGTCAACCTCATCAAATAGGATAAGAATTGATTGTTATTGCCTCTTCTCTTATTCTGATCTAGGGGTATCAAAATTTGAGGTCAAACTTTAGAAAATGGGATGTTCCATGCAACTTATCCACTATGGGCATAGGAAAACCCCTATACCATGTAAATACCCTTCTAATTTCATAGTGTGGGTCTTATAATTTATAAACTATTATCAGATAAACCAAAGAGCTCTATTGTCTTACTTTCTAGTCTCCTTCTGTACCTTCACCTTCTACCTCTGCGGCAACAATTTAACATGCTGTCAATGTATCATTTTCATCCAAAATTAACGGCCTAAACTGTTTTACAGGACAAGAATGAAGGGGTGGAATTTCTCACCTCAGCCAAAACAGAGACCTTTTGCTTGGTGCTCCATTAGCCAAGGGTAAGAAAGGTGATGGACCACTGGTTTTTTATGTCAAAAATCTATGTCGGTTCCACTCATTTCAATGCTGGCAGAGCCACTGAAAAGGCTGTTGTCAAATGTGAGATTCTCAATCACATGCTCTATTCTGATTCCAAACACCCATATTCTCTCCTTAAACCAATAGTTTCTTGTAACCCAATTCTTGCTTTGTCGTTTTGATTCAAAACACCCATATCAAAATAAAGCCATTTTTTGTTGCTTAAAAGAAAATCTCTTACTAGCAATTGTTGAAGTAGTGCCAAACATAATCAAAGGACAAATAGAAGATTTTAATTTTCATCAGTTCTAGATGTATATTATAAATGAACATTTCTATTTTGATTATGGAATGATATCAAGCTCACAACTTTTATTTATAATTTTGGTCTTTTTTTATTGGAGAATAATTGTATCCTGATTTTGCTTTGAATTCTCTACCTTTGTTAAAAAGAACAAGAGCCATAACCTTTCAAGTCTACGTTGGGTCTAAGCCAACTGGATCCCGTTAAAGACATATCAAAGGAAAAGGGGTAGAATAAGAAGAATGAGCCAGGAGGCCGTTATGCTAGATTCTAACAGACTAACAAATTAGCATACGTGGCAAGGAGAAGGGGGGCGGGGGGAGAGGAAAGCAGCAGGGAGAGAGAGGGATTATATAGAGGTTGAACATTTGGCAAAAGGCAGGAATTATCTGGGAGGTCATTGGGTGTGCCTGCTGCCATAGGAAAGGTTCCATTTTGTCAGTTTCTGTTATTTCATCCTTCTATTTGTACTATCAGGGTATTCCCTGAGGTTTCTGTGTTAATTCCATAAATACACTCAGTTCCTGTCAGTCTATTTCAGTTTTTAACTGATGTTCCTCATGTCCACAGATTGAGCTTTTAAAATTATATATTTGTTATATTTGTTTTCTTGCTCTTGTAGGAACCTACATAGGTAAAGCATCAGCCAACCCATCAAATCTAGTGGGAGCAGAAGTGGGGCATGGAAGAGGCAGGTTTGGAAGCAGCAAAAAAGTTGATTTTAATTGCTTGAGAAATGTCCCTAAATTTTTGGCAGAAGAGAACTTGCATGAAATGAAAGAAATGTGTATTTAGTCAAGATGCTGCACAGCGAATCACAACTATCCTACATCCTCTTGTTTAGAACATCAATGGCCATTGAATTATTCTTTAGACAATGTTGATTGTTGTCATGAGTGAATCTCCTAAAATGTCTGATTTAACTTTTATTCATAAGAAAGGGAGAAACAATGACTGGACTCGAGATCACGTGGTCAAAGAATCTAAAACCACGTCAAATGCACATGAATGGTTTTATGCTAATCACTAACACACCCTCCTTTGGTTTTAAAGCATATATAATGCATAGTTCAGCTTATATTTGGTTAATGTCAAATTTTCTTTTGATTTAGTAGAATGGGACGACAAAGATCAAACTCAATTACTTGGTTATAAAATCTCTGATACCATGTCATTTCTAAATGCTTTTGCCTATTTTCCCAGAGGACAACCTGCACTATGAAAAGGGGAGAGACAATAAAAGCAGCACACATTTTTTGCGAAGATTAAAATATGAAATGATACCTCCAAGACTTCATTTATTACACCTTTGCTATCAGAAGCAACAAATGCCTGGTGTTTTTCCATCTTAGAAACTGCTTGGTCATCATATGTAAATGCAACAATACCCTAGGAAAAAAAAAAAAAAAAACAGCTACCAATGATTAAAAAAAGTTAATCCTACTAATCAAACTACAATTAAATCAAAGCATAAAACACCTTGCGTGCAGCTTTACTGAATTGAGAAGCCGCATCACTAATTGCATACACAGTGTTGCTTAAAAGACTAGTGGTGCCTTGAGCCATGCCCAAAATAAGTCCAGTAGGGCTCTGCACAAATTGAACCAATAATTTAAACTAGTTTGTTACATGATCATATTAAATGTCAATAAATAAGGGCCAACTTAGGACTTTTACCTGCATAATGCTCTTTGCAGGCACAGACAAGAAATCTCTGATGCCAAGCCCCATGCTCCTTGCAAAACCCAAGGGATTACCAATGACACCAGCCGAACCAAACAACTTCAAATTTAGGAAACAGTTCAAGGTTGTTAGATGTGGCAATTGTTTGTTTAACACTAAGCATTTAGCCACAATAGCAAGTAATAAATCAAGAAAGATTAGCTCAATATGTTTCCTTCATAGATAACAATATCATATAGCAACACGTAGTGGCCAATGCAGAGGAATAGCACATTGCAGGATGACTACTATTTAGAAGTTTTATATACAAATTAAATAATTTATACTATATATATAAATGCTCAAAAGTTTATTAAAAATACTCCAAATCCATGGTATTCAAAATTTAAAATAACAAACTCATAGTTTTAAGAAAAAAATAAAAGTAAATAACAATAAAAGTAAAAAATTCCCCAAAAAATGCTTTTTTTGAGAGCAACAATGAGTTTTTTTTCGAAAAGTTTCACTCTAACACCGCTATAGCAGAAGTAGAACTGCTATTTTTCCTGTTATTGTGGCCACTATTTAAGAACACTGCTATTTAAATTTTGAAGCAGCCTATGACCACTTTGCTCCACAGGTACAGTGCTGCTATTGATATCTATGGTCTCCTTTTAACCTTACTAGTGAATTAGTAAATATATAAAGGAGAAGATTGAAATATTTTCAAATATAAATTTCGAATCCCAATTCAAATTTATAAAGAAAAGAATTACATTAGCAAATGAAGCATAAACAACTCTCTTCTTTGAAGTATCACGGTGTTGGACACAATTTTTATACCAACACTTTCCAGACACTTGTTTGATATTGGACATGCCAAGTTAAGTGTCTAATTACAAATGTATTTTTTAGCAGCTAGGACACCTGAGCCAACACCTCTATATGGCTTGGACACTTGAGTTGAATATAATATAAAATACATTTGTTTTAGAGGAATATATAAAAATTAGCATGTTGGTTTACGAGTATACCTTTTTCGAAAGATATAATTTTATCTTCTTGTTTTGGGATTTTCGGTAAAGAAACCAAGTCTTTACAATGTAAATAATGCCTTTTCATATTCTTTTGTGAGGCTTTATTATTATTATTATTATGGTGTCCGGTAGCTGTCAAAAGTGTTCATGCTTTATAAATAACAATAGTGCGTCAATTGAAAAAATGATCATGTTACAAAATTCAATATAGACATTTGACAAGAGTTTGATGATTTTCGGCATGCATGCAAAATCAACATTTCTAGCCTGAATAGTTAAGAAACACTAGTTTGAGATATAAATCAACTTTTTACCTTGTAAGTCTCATGAAGTAGCTGGCGGTTGTAATGCCTAATTAAAATCTCCTGAATGGATTCCCAACTGGCCATATGATGTGCAATAGTTAAATCCTTTAGATAAATATGTGCTCCCTCAACATCAGCAAGAGCCATAATACCTCTCTGTTATTATTAATAATAAGTAGTTAAATAAACATTTTTAAAGGTGAGTTGATTATGCATTTTACATATGCGAATATTTTAGAGCTAGACACCTACTAGTGACCCAACATCAAGACTAGAAAGACTCCAATATCTTATTAGAAATGGACTATGGCCAAGTCCACACGATAATTTAGCTAAGACGGGGTGGGTAGAACTGCCCAAGTCTAATAAGGATTATTTTGGTCATATTCCCAACTGGTGTGGACAGATTGACAAACCAAAACTCTCATTTGTACTCCTGCAGTGCAATACTATTTCCAAAAGAAAAATGGAATACCCAACATAAAGACTAGAGAGACTCTGATATCATATTAGAAACGGATTATGCCTAACTCAATTCCAAAATTTAAGAGGGTGGGGAGAACTGCCCAAGTCTAATAAGGCTTGTGGATTGGCAAACCCCAACTCTCATTTGTACGCCTGCAGTGCAATACTATTTCCCAAAGAAAAATGGAATACCCAACATCAAGACTAGATAGAAGGACTGATATCATATTAGAAATGGACTATGCCTAACTCAACTCCAAAATTTAAGAGAGGGGGTGGGGAGAATTGCCCAAGTCTATAAGGATTAAATTGGTGATATTCCCAACTGATGTGTGCACAGATTGACAAATCCAAACTCTCATTTGTACTCTTGCAGTGAAATATTAATTCCAAAAGAAAAAATGGAATACCACTTACATGGATAAGAAATTCCTTGGATGTGAGGATCCTATTGTGATGCATCCAAGGGGCACTAGAAAAACTGCATGTGGATAATTTATGTCATCTGTCTGTGAATTGTATGCATAAAAAACTGAAAACAGCTGTCGGAATAAACATAAGAATGAGCAAGTGACCTTAAAGTCAATTTAATAGGTGCCAATTCAAGCATTTCAATATAAATTTTCTTCTGGGTTCTGGCCAACAGATAAATTTCCTGCCATGGGGCTCCAATTGGAATGATCGAAGGCAAAGACACAATTCTTTTAGATTTTCCATTAAACCTGGGAGCAATACTTAGCGGACATTGATCAGCAGTTAATCTGAAATTCTCCCTAGTTTGAACACATGAGGATGATTCCTTTAGTGATATTCCATCATAGTGATCTGAAGATGGCATGATTCCATATTGCAGCCCTGAAGTGACATTTGTAAAAAACTCAAATAAGCTTAATATGACTTCTTGTTCAATCTCAAGATGAAAATCTTCGACCCTGCAAGCATTAAGCATAATATGATGAGAATTGATCTCAAGTACATAACACCAGAAAAGAAAAATTAACAGTAAGATGCAACAAACTTAGAAAATAGAAACCTCAATTTTATGTATTCAAATGAAATAAATGAAATGTCTTTCTTCCTCCATTTTGATATTTCTAGGCAGAACACAGGAACAGAAGAGCTGCTCATCTGATTTAATTTTTCAATTCTTGTTCTTGTAACATCATCCCTGGATTTCATACTATCATCATGGCAGGATCTGTATCCACTATCAAATGACATTATAACTGGATATGGAGTAGAGCGCAACTGGTTATCAATTTGTATGAATGATATCACTAAAGAAAGACATTGCCGATCAGAACTTTGCAGTAGATTCATCTGTACATCCTTAATACAGGCAAAAAGCAATTCCTACAAAATAAAAGTATGAATAACAAATCCAAGAAATAGAAGAGATCCACCAAAAAAGTGTTAGACAGCTCACAGCTCAATTACCTGTGGGTATGAATCAATCAAAGAAATCCCAATATATGGAACAGAAATTGATATTTTCTCCTTGTAGTCTGAAGCCCTAAATAGATTGTGATCGTATAACCTTTTCTCTGCAGCAAGTGAGGCACTTGATTTCTTCACATCATCAAGGATATGGTAATTTGAATCAAGAACACTAAGGACCTGAAAGGGAAAATAAATCCATGAGAGCAAGAAATGTGAATTTTCAAGTCCGATACAGGAAATCAAACTACAATTGAGTCACCTTTGTTGCTCCCTCCGCATGCACTGATAAATAGAAAGTCCTTTCAGGCTTCTGAAATCATTATTTGCATAAAGCCACCATTAGATATCAAGGAACCTAGACTTAAGTGTAAAAATTTTGTTCTATCAATTCTACAGACTTCAACTTGTGTTTAGGCAAAGCAAAAATACTTATGAATATCACTCATGTCAACAGAAGCAGCTCCTTATCGCATGTCAAATCAGTAACCCAAATGTCTCTTCCAATTACTAAAAAAGAGTTTCTTAGCAACAGTTCTTTGATCTGATTTATTCATCATCGTTAAAAGATATTGCAAACAGAGGGAGAAAAAAGCTGAAGGAAAACTCATTTTAGCCACAGGTAATGCATTATAATTTTATATACATCATGTATTCTTAAATACAAGATTGCATTTCCATGATAGTTAATGGCCTGCAATTATACAGATTATTAAATTACGATTGATGACAAACACATGAATCGGCCATGATTTATGGTTAATCTTGATTTCTTAATTCAATTCTTGGTGTTCTTAATTCTTATGAACTTGTTAGACCCCTTATTTACATTACTTTAAATGTAAGGGAAGAACTGAAAGGTGAATCTCACCATTGGAACTCCCAATCTTGAATCTAAAATTCTAAACCATTAAAGTAGGCTAAGTTTCTAGAGGAATTACCAAATCATCATAAAATTTAATGGGTTTGATTAGATTTAATTATCATGAAAATAGTAGTTAGTCTAATTAAATATGTTATTGTATTGTAAAAGAAATAATTGCCTTAGGATAATACACCTTCAAGATAAATCAAGAATTAATAAAAGATCAATCTTAGTTAAGTTCATCAATTTTAATTTGGGGAAAACTAATTCTAAAAGTTTGTTAGAATAACTATTCAACAATATGATGTTAACAAAGTCGTTTTAATGGGGTCTTAGGTGAGAAAGTCTACACACAACAGCCTCTTGGTTTTTTGTCTATAGACAAACCTCTCGTGTGCAAATTACAAAAGACTATTTATGGCCTTACAAGCCCCAGAGCGTGGTTTGAACATCTTCAAGCTGCACTACTTGGTTTTGGGTTCATTTTTCGTGTAAATAAAGTCTTTTTGTCTTGGTATATGTCGATGACATAATTGTTACAGGCAATTCAGAACCTCTAATACAGCAAGTAATATCTCAATTAAATGGCTCATTGCTCTTGTCTCAAATCAAATACATTAGAGATCTACTCTCCAAAGCTCACATGACTGTTGCCAAGGTTATAGTCACTCCTACGGTGGGTAACAACAACTAACCAAATATGGTGTAAATTATGTATCAGACCCTACCCTGTATCGCTTCATAGTTGATGCCATGCTACGTAACCATCACAAGACCTAAAATCAATTTTGTAACAAAGGCTGTCAATTTCTCAATCAACATCTAGAAGAGCATTGGAAGGCAGTGAAAAGAATTCTCACATACCTCAAAGACAATAAAACCTATGGCTAGCTACTTCAGCCAGAACAACAAACCTTTTTCATTAACATCCTTTTATGATACAGATTGGGTGTATAATCCTAATGATCCGAGGTCAACTTCACGATCTTACATGTATTTTAGCCTGAATCTTGTCTCCAGGTAGTCAAGAAAACAGAATCTTGTAGGCCTGAGAATCGTAGTCTTGCAAACACTGCAGCAGAACCCATCTGGTTTCAGTCACTTCTATTTGAAATAAAGGTTGTTCCACCTCTGATGATCTATTGTGATAATCTTAGTCTGATATCTCTAAATCACGATCCTGAACTCCACTCTTGCACAAACATAGATATCTTCTTTGTAAGAAAAAAGGCTCTCAACAAGTTTCTTTATTCATTATTGTTAAAATGTTCCACATTGGTTAGGAATAAAGTTAAAATACTCCTTAAAAAGCCTAAGGTAGTCCCAGTGTTATCAATAGTGGATTGTGAAAAATTGCGAAAAAACAAAAAATTGCAATGACATATAGCAGATAGCATTGCGGACAAATAGCGGAAGTCACATAGCGGTTGAAATATAAAAAATTTAGTAATGCAGTAAGCTACATAAAATTTAAAAAGATGGTAAACAAAAAAAGATGACATAGGATTGATTCAAGTCAAAAGTTCAATTGTTCAAACTTCAAAATAAAATACTGAAAACACTAAACAAAGACAAAACAAATTCATTCATTCAGTCATTCTCATTGTCAGATAGTGAAGCATATCCTTCAACTTCTTCTAAATCTTCAAAATTAATATCTTGATTGTCTTCTAATTCTTTTTCTGATTCTTCCAAGACTGCAGTATCTTCAACTTCAACCATAAGCTCTTTTCCATTTTTGGATGAAGATGCACTTGCCAAACCTTTCTTTGTCTTAGATGCAGCCCCAACAACATTAAGTGGTCCCTTTCTTTTCTGAAATATTTGCTAGTATATGTTATAAGCTCTCCAGCTCCTAAAGCTCTATAAACATCTTCCCAAATAAAGACATTATCATTGTCATCCTCAAAGACCCTCTCATTCTCAGCATCATCTTCATCACCATCCATCTTCCCAACTAACCATTCATTACACTCATCAATATCATTGAGTGAGATTAGATCAATCTCATCCCTAAAATTGTATCTTCTAAGCAATGCTTGATTATATTTGACATACACTAAGTCATGTAGTCTTTTATGCTCAAGGCTATTCCTTTTCTTAGAATGTATCTGTAACAATAAGTTCAATAAAAATTAACAAAATTCTCCAATTGACTAAGTATAAAAACTATTATCTACTAAGAAAATTGTTAATTAGTAAATTACTTGCTCAAACACACACCAGTTGCGTTCACATCCTGATACATTACATGTCAAGCTCAAGATCTTTATAGCCAATTGCTGTAAATTTGGAGTTGATAGTCCGTACATTCGCCACTATTGTGCTACAAATTCAAAAAAATATTTTGCAATAATGCACGTAATGAAGGTTACAATTTAGAATAATAGAGAAAACTTCATAAAGTTTCTCACCTAGTGCAATTGTGTTCCTTTGTGAAATTGCAAATTTATTTCTAAACATACCACCAGCAGCTTTATAAACCAATAGCTCTTCAAGAATCTTTTGTTTCACTTCCAAAGTAAGCCCCAACCTCTCAATGCATACATACAACCCATTTGTCACCTCAAAATCAAATTCAATTGAGGGATTGTTGTAGAAGAATTTTGAATTTAGGAAGTAACCAGCCGCATGTAATGGGCGATGAAGTTGGCAACTCCACCTCTTATCAATAATTTCAAAAACCTCCTTATATTTGCTTTCATTGTTCTCAAAAGATCTCATAATAGTTTCTTTAGCCATTTCCATTGCGTCATCAATATAACCCATGGCTGGTTTTTTCTCACTATCAACATGGCAAAGCACACGCACAAGAGGAGCCATGACCTTAAGTGTGTACACAACATTATTCCAAAAAGTAGGCATGAGTACAGTTTTTGTTGCTTCTCTTACACTAGCTGTAAGCATGTCATGAAAACTTTGCAACTTAATCATGTTGAAGGATAAGCCAGCTTGATACCAAAGTCGAGCAATGTATTGATGAACTCTTGTAGTAGCCTCCTTGTCACATGCTTCCCTTATGTTTGCTTGTCTTAGTTTATCCTTCTTTTCTTAATTATAGTTTCAGGCCTTTTGAAATAAAGATCAATAGGACCCTTAGAAGCACTCTTTTTTCCAATAGCATTATTAGACACTATTTCTCTAAACTCTTCATCAAGAGCACGTTCTTCATCACTATCACCAAATTCATCAAGATTATTGCACATCCGTTGAAATGCTTCACTATCTTGCTTCTTCTTATCTTTCAAATATTCCCATAATTCTTCTCTGACCTCTTTTGGACATATGGTGCAAGCTGCAACATTACCTTTTTTTCTCATCAAGTGTTCTTTGGCTCGGGTAATTCCTCCTTTCGTGACCTTACCACAAAAATTGCAAACAAAACTATTGGTGTCATTTCCTTGTGCTGGATGACAATATTTCCATCCTAGGTCAGTCCTAGAACCAACTCTAGAAGAATTTGACGATTCTTCACTTGCCATACTACGAAAAATAAAAAAAGAGAAAACTGCAGCAGTAGTTATCTACTGTACTCGCCGGAGACAACAGTGCACGTTGGGGACTCATCGGGAGCAATATTGGTTGCTACAGATGATGGCTGCAGGAAGAGCACTGCACAGGGGTGTGAAATAGATGGCACTGTTATACACTGTTTTTGTATTCAAAACAGAGGTGCTGATCTGAAGGAAGAGGGAAGAGCAAGAATCAAAAATACTTACAGGAGACTTGCTGGAGGCAACAGTAGTTGCTGGAGATAAGAGACAGACAAGAAGAACAAAATGGGTTGAACGAAATGGACTGCAATATTGCTCTTCTTTTTGTTCAGAAAACAGAGTAGGTAAAAAACCGTAAAAGAACAGAAAAAAATACTGTTCATCTTCATAAGCAAGTGAGAAGTGATGGGTAAAAAAAAAATATATTTAACAGTAGTCACGTGGGGTAACGTGACTATTCAGACCTCTTATTAAACAAAAAAACAAAAACCAAACCTTCTGAATCTGCTATTTCCACTTTATTCACGCTTTCCGCTACATGAATAGCATCCGCGATTTCGGAAATGGCAAAACCGCAAAGCAATAGCTTTTTCATAGCGGCAAGCCCAAATTCCGCTCCGCAAAAATGTTATAATAGGGCAATAACCGCTATTTGATAACACTAGGTAGTCGTCCTCATATGAACTAACTTTTGAAAGTGAATTAGGCCCCAGTTTCTTAACATGATATAAGAGTCTATCTAGGTTAAATGTTGGGCTGCCCACAGATGTCCAGTCTTGTTGGTCCACCCGTGCATATGTCTAATCCTATAAATTTCACGCACCAGATGTCCAGTAACTCAGGGTGTTTAAGAAGTTGAACAGTTCACCCTAGGGTTATATGAGGGAATTTTAGTGCATGTGTGTAGTACAAATCTGTTATTGTTATTCTGTTAAATGATAGTTGTGTAACTGAATTAGGTCCAACAGTTGGTCTTTTCCTTTGTGTATTTTTCTATAAATAGAAGAAGTCTTTGATCTGAATTGTACTCGAGTTTATTTTCACAAAATCAAAGTTTCTACTTTCTCTCAACTGTTTTTTTCTTCTCTATTCACTGCTCATGGATTCTAATAGATTTAGAGGGTCTAACTTGATCTATGATAAATAGTCTCCATATTTCCTAATAATAATTTGTTTTCTTGTTAGGATTGAGTCTAGTATTTGAATCATGTATCAACACAGTTTGGTGGGTGCTTTTTTGTAATACATCATTATTACACACGTATCAACCATAGTCATTAATCACAGATACCAACGCTACCAACTGACCCAAAAATCAATATAGCAGGATGACTGTTATTTTAAAATTGTTGTATAATGCTCAAGAAATACTCAATGAATAATATTTTGAAGTTGTTAGGGGTGATAGTATAACATGGCTGGCCAGAACGTCTATGCAATGTGGTTAAAATGACCGCAAAAGCACATGGCCAGAAAGCAGTAAGCGATGACAATGGGTGGTTACTGATAAGACTATATTAGAGAGAAGATGTGGTCTTACTGATCTGTTCTATTGAGAAGATGGCAGTACTTCACTTCTGATAAGAACCTTGGAATATCATGATTTGTTTCCATTATTCAATTTGGTACATACAATTAATCTACTATTATTTTATGATAACCTGCCATCTGCCATACTATTATTTTTAGTTATTCAAATTGGTCATACTATTATTTTTAGTTATTCAATTGGTCATACTATTATTTTATTATGAATAAAATTGAGTGTGACTCAAGTCCCATGCCTTGCAAAGAGATGATATCATCTCTGGCAAAGATGAGTGCACAGAGATGTCCCACGGAGAATAGAGACAAAGGGTATCGACATTGTGTTGAATTGTACATATTTTAGGTATAGAGGGAGAGAATAGGGAAGGAAGAGACACTGAATAATATTTTACTCCAGTACCATGATGTACTCCAATAGGATGTAATCTGATGATAACATAATATAATACCTTCTATACTACTAATCCAAATTTAATAATGGAAACAAATCATGAGATATTCTAAAAGGAAATAGAGAAACTAGTACTAAGAGATATTCTCTAAGATACCCTAAAACATTCTAGAATAAAATTTAAATATTGTTGGATACTTTAAATAATTCTAATATATAATGAGATATTCAACATACACTCATTGTTTAGAAATTAAGAGAGACCATCACCAAAGATTTTGTAACAAGCGAAGATGTAAGAAACAAGCATAACATGAACACAACTTTTTAATTAGGAAAATTTAAAATGTTATACCTCAGAGGTTGGTGGCAAGTAGACAGGCATGTATTCTTTAACATCATCAAGGGCATATGATCCCAAAACTCGCTCTCCAGGTACCTTCAATTATGGTAACCAGTTTTAGGTCGTGTAATTTGAAGTTTCCATTTCGCTAATAGAAAAAAGTTTTACCTCCACAATAAGACGATGAGGATAGCAGGGTTCATCCCAGGTGTAAAGGTAAGATGCGTAGGAGTGAATGACTGTATCAAACATTTCACACCTCTGCTGATATATTCTCAATCTCTAGAAATTAGCAAGCAAAACACATTAAATTTCAATCAACAACAGATTAAGCATGGTCTGAAAGGCTGAAATTCTTTTCAAGCATGGCTTTAGTAACTGTACAAGGTATGTACAACCAGTACATTCACGATTTATCAATTATCGTCCATCATTGCAATATAAACTGGCATTTGTCAAGGAACAATTGGTGCTTTGTCTTCAAAATGAATGAAACGACTTTTGAATTGGGTTTTATAAATTAAAATTAATTTTACATTTAATATGAAGTAATCATCCAATATTGATTTTAGTATGTACTGGTACATATTTTTTCTAAAATTAACAATTTTATTTTTTGCTCGAAGAAGTATCTTTCATGGACTTGAGATAGAAAAATAATTAGGGTAAAAACTGTATATTCTTTCTTGTGATTCAGAGGTTCTTATAAGGGAAATCTGTACAAAACTAGATCCCTTGATTATAGGGATTGACTAGGTAATTACAGCAGAATCCTAATTACATTATTTACATAATCAATTAGATTTCTATATAAAAGGAAAGAAGGTAAATATGGAAATACAAATATTCTCAACACTCCCCCTCAAGCTGGTGCATATATATCATATGCATCAAGCTTGTTACAAATGTATGTTATCCTTGGACCTCGAAGTGCTTTGGTAAGCATGTCAGCTAATTGATCATTAGAGTTTACAAACGACGTAACAATCTCACCAGAAAGAATCTTTTGACGAATGAAATGGTAGTCAATCTCTATATGCTTGGTCCGTTCATGAAAGACAGGGTTAGAGGCAATATGTAAGGCTGCTTGGTTATCACAAATAAGTCTCATAGGTCCTACCTCACAAAACTTTAACTCAGCAATAAGCTGTTTTAGCCATACAAGTTCACATGAGGTATTGGCCATTGCTCGATATTCAGCTTCAGCACTTGATCTAGCAACAACATTCTGCTTTTTACTCTTCCAAGCAATTAGGTTGCCTCCAATCAATACACAATATCCTGAAGTTGATCGTCTATCGCTTGGACAGCCAGCCCAATCCGCATCTGTGTATGCAACAATATCAATATGGTCTCTGTTTTCATAGACTAATCCTTTTCCAGGGGAACCTTTAATGTATCTCAGGATTCGAATCACTGCATCTCAGTGACTATCACGAGGGGAGTTAAGAAATTGGCTTATAACACTGACCGGAAAAGATATGTCTGGCCTAGTCATAGTAAGATAATTCAATTTTCCAACTAGTCTTCGGTATTGATTTGGATCTGAATACAACTCTCCCTGATCCGGCATAAGTTTGACATTTGGATCCATAGGGGTATCAACTGGCTTACAACCTAACATTCCTGTTTCCTTCAAAATATCAAGAGCATATTTTCTTTGAGATATGGCGACACCAGTTTTTGATTGAGCTACTTCAATCCCAAGGAAATATCGCAATCGACCTAAGTCCTTAGTTTGAAAATGTTGAAACAAATGCTGCTTGAGCCGGATGATACCATTATAATCATTGCCTGTGATAACAATATCATCCACATAGACAACAAGATAAATGCACTGGTTAGTAGAAGAATGTTTATAAAACACAGAATGGTCTGCCTCACTACGAGTCATTCCAAACTGTTGGAGAACTGTACTAAATCTCCCAAACCATGCTCAAGGACTTTGTTTAAGGCCATATAGAGCCTTACGTAACTTGCAAACAAATCCTTGGGACTCCCCCTGAGCAACAAAACCGGGAGGTTGCTCCATATAAATCTCTTCTGCTAGATCACCATGGAGAAATACATTTTTGATATCGAGTTGGTAGAGAGGCCAGCAACGTGTGGCAGCTATGGATAAGAAGAGGCGAACTGAAGTCATTTTTGCAACAAGTGAGAAGGTGTCGCCATAATCAAGGCCGAAAGTTTGTGTATAGCCTTTAGCGACTAATCGGGCTTTAAGCCGATCAATTTGTCCATTTGGACCCACCTTAATGGCAAACACCCAACGACAACCGACAGTAGATTTCCCAAGAGGAGATGGAACAAGTGTCCAAGTCTGGTTAGACTCTAAGGCCTGCATCTCATCAATCATAGCCTGTCGCCACCCTGGATGAGAAAGTGCTTCCTGGACTGTTTTAGGAATAGTAACAGAGGAAATAGCAGACACGAAGGCACAATGGGAAGAGGATAAACGATGATAACTCAAGAAATTATAAATGGGATGAGGATTTCAAGTTGAACGTGTACCTTTGCGAAGGGCTACTGGCAAATCAGCAGGTGTGTCAGATGGATCCGGAGTAGGTAGAGCAACTGGCGTAGGAGATGGGCTGCCTGAATCTTCCAAAAATACGTCTTCTAGCGAGACAGGGCGAGGTCTACGCTGGTATGTAGCCAGGGGACGAGGAATAGTAGGTGAAGAGGGATTAGGAGGTTCTGGCACATCAGAGATTGAGGGATTAGTGACAAGGGGAATATAGTAAGGAATGGGAAGAACTTGAGAAACTGAGTTTGAAGAGACTGATGTGGTGAAATATGGTGTGTCTTCAAAGAAAGTGACATCGGCTGACGTATAGAAGCGATGACTGGATGGAAAATAACACCTGTATCCTTTCTGCACTCGAGAGTAACCCAAAAAGAGACACTTAACAGCACGAGCAGATAATTTGTCAAGTCCTGGAGTGAGATCATGGACAAAACAAGTGGAACCAAAAACACGTGGGGGAACCTTAAACAGAGAGTCATTAGGGAATAAAAGTGAATGAGGTACTTTGTTATTTAAAGCAGAGGATGGCATCCTATTTATTAAAAAGGTTGCTGTAAGGACAGCATCACCCCAAAATTTTAAAGGTACATTAGCATGTAACAAAAGAGTTCGAGCAGTTTCAATAATATGACGATGTTTTCTTTCTGCAATGCCATTTTGTTGTGGGGTGTGTGGACAAGTGGATTGATGCAACATGCCATGAGAAGTCATAAAATGATTAAAAGGTGCAGAAAAATATTCTTTGGCATTGTCACTGCGCAAGATTCGAATAGAACGACCAAACTGTATTTGAATTTCATTGCAAAAATTCTGAAAAATTGTAAATAATTCTGAACGTTCTTTCATTAAGAAAATCCAAGTACATCTTGAGTAGTCATCAATAAAAATAACAAAGTACCTATGTCCTAAGATAGAATTAACACGACTCGGACCCCACACATCTGAATGGACAAGATCAAATGGAGATTTTGCTTGACCATGGACAGCACTTGGAAAGGAGGCTCGAATGTGTTTACCTAATTGGCATGACTCACACTCCATAGACTGTAAATGAGAGAGGTGAGGAACCATGTGCTTCAATTTATTTAGACCTGGATGACCTAGGCGACAATGCAAGAGAAGGGGGGGATCTGCAACAGTGCAGACAACTGAGGTAGTGGGCTGAAAATAATAAAGACCATGCAATTCAAATCCTACTCCAATCGTCTGTCCCGTACTCCGGTCCTGTAGAGAGAAAGATTCAGCAGTAAATGTTATAGAACAGTTATGAGTGCGAGTAAGTTGACTTACTGAGACTAAATTAAAGGGGCAACCAGGTACAAGAAGAACAGAATTCAAGGATAAATTAGGAAGAGGAGTAGTTCGTCCAATGCCAATGGCATTAGCTTTTGAGCCATCAGCAAGGGTGATGCGGTGTGCTGTTTTAGGTTGTGACAGTTTTGAGAAAAGAGAAGGATTACCAGCTATGTGGTCAGAAGCCCCAGAATCTAATATCCAGGGTCCAACAGACGACGAATGAGAGAAGCAAATTGTAGAGTTACCAGATTGAGTAGTGGCAGAGGAAGATTGTTGTGATGCTATCTTCAGCTAGAGGTACTCCTTGTACTCCATATCTGACAGAATATTTTGGTTGTCTCCTTCATGGTCAATTTGCTTTTTCACAGCGGAAGGCTGAGAATACGTCACATTGGCTGATTTCTCGGGAAACCCAATCAAAGAATAACACTTATCTTGAGTGTGGCCCACACGTTTACAATAGGAGCACTGTGGACGATTTCCAAAACTGAGACCTCCTCTTCCACCACCTCGACCACGACTTCGACCTCCACGGCTGATCACATTAGAGAAGAATGCAGAAGACTCCAAACTTAGTTGGGAACCATTTCCTATCATAGTTTCCGGAGAGGGAACACGCAGCAGACGATCAATGAGATTCTCTGCTGTAGGTACATTGGAATTTGTCAAAATTTGGTTCCGAACAGATTCAAAATCTTTGTGAAGGCCATGAAGGATGAAGACCATGCACATGTTATCAATCTTGTCTAAGACTTTTTGAAGGTCATCACCTGTCAAGACCAATTTTACTTCATCAATGGTGGACTGTGCTCTGTTCAAATATGATGGGAGATCATGATCTGTCATTTTAAGTGCAGCTAAATTATGTACAACATCATAGAGACGCTGAACATCATTTGAATAGACACTACGAGCTTTCTTCCATATATCGTAACATGTCTTATAAGTGCGAAAGTGGACTAACAACTTCGGATCAATGGACTGCCATAGAAGTGAAACTAACTGATAATCAGCCTTCTTCCACTGATCTCGTTCAGTGGAATTAATGTCACTTGTCGTCTTAGTCAAATGGTCAGAGAGACCTTGACCCAAAAACCATATTTCCACTGCAGCTTGCCAATCCATATAATTTTTTCCATTAAGTTTCTCTGAAGTTATGGATGGATTTCTAGAGAAGACAAAAGATACTGGATTTTTGTTTAAGGGTTCAATGCTGTCAGGGGTAGAAGACTTAGTTGGGTCAGAATCCATGACTAAGCTTGGTGAGAGTCGGAGGAGACTAAACACAGCTCACCAACAGGGAAAAGGACACCCAGAACAGACAGAGGGTGTGCCGACGAACTGAACGGGACCAGCAGCGAGACGAATGGAGTCGTGTAGGGCGGCGCGTGGCCTTCACGCGCCGACAGTCTGGTTTTCTGGTAAGCGGGCGTGGCGGCGCGTGGAACACCGGGAGATGATGGCGATCGGTGGGACAGCCGATCGGAAGCTTCTCGAGCTAGTGCCGAAGTCTCAGGCCAAACGGTGGCCGGACGTCGGGACAACTAGGGTCGGCAGTACTGTGCAGTACTGTAGATGATTTTATCAGGCCCACAGAAAGTGAGCTCTGATACCAACTTGAGATAGAAAAATAATTAGGGTAAAAACTGTATATTCTTGCTTGTGATTCAGAGGTTCTTATAAGGGAAATCTGTACAAAACTAGATCCCTTGATTATAGGGATTGACTAGGTAATTACAGCAGAATCCTAATTACATTATTTACATAATCAATTAGATTTCTATATAAAAGGAAAGAAGGTAAATATGGAAATACAAATATTCTCAACACATGGAAATATTTGCTTAAATCAGCACGGCACAACCAACATAGAATGGAGAAAATAAAAATTTCTCAAATAATTTTCATTAACTAAAAATTAGAAAGTGCATTTAAACATACTAAAATAGATGCATTCAAATGAAAATTTAGGGAAAACTCTACATAAGAAACAAAAAAGGGGAAACAATCAGAAATCTGATTATAAAAGCAGTAACTCTTTAGGTATCAGGCGGCAGTTCAAATATTTTGCAGTTCCAATACTGCAGTAATGCAAGTGAAAAACTAGAGACTAACCTCCTTTGAGAAATTATCAATTCTGTATGGCATATACCCCGTATCATCATCTGACAAAAGAATCAAGTTGGTCCCTGAGTTTCCTTTGATGTTTCCAACTATTTTTTCACCTCCCATTGATATGTCAGCATTTTGCACTTCAACTCGTATCATGTTTGAAGTGCCAAAAACAAAGTTCCTCATTTTTAGTTGTGTATCACCCAAGTGATCTGGTAAAAAGCTACCAGACCACTGCCATCCAGATTCATTATAACAAATTGAAACAAGCAGCTCCCTACATTGCATGTTAGAATACAAACAGTATGAACAAAGCGGAAGAATGAGATAAAGAAAAGATAAAATGTTATAAGCTATAAAAAATGTGCCAGAATGTAACCTTCTTTGCTATCAGTGGCAACTACACTTGTCCAAGATAAACACACAATACAAATATCCAAAATAAATACCTTGTTGTATCTGTCCAGTGAAGATGAGCATGTTCTCCTATTCCTAAATAGAACATGACATCAGTACCCTTCTGCTTATAAGATATTTCCTTGCTGCATGCATTGCTGATCACATATCTGCATATTTAGACAACATCAATTAAAGGACAGAACTACAGCAATATAAACAATTATATAAATAATTATATATATCTGTCTAGAAACCTGTTATCCTAAAAGTGTTTAGGACAAGGAAAAAAATTGCTTTAACCTAGAGCACACATCCTCATATGAACATCATTTGAATGGCAGAGTGAATAAAGCAGGCCCATACACTTACATTTTACAAAAGTTTAATTAAATTGAAAGTATGATCAGACTCGAAACCATTTTCATCAAAGAGACTTTAGTGCCATGTTAAGGAACCAACCACATCCAAACGTTATGCCTTTAAGGGGAGGTCCAGAAATAGATTTCATCAATAACAATATCTATGAAGACCAATATATTACCTAGGCTGGAACGTGATTGCATTTGTCCTCCCAGCATATTGTTCAGCAACTGAGTTAGATGTCATAGCTAGAATGAATGCAGAATTCGAAGCCAACTGAGGAACAAGGATAGTACTTGAACCACTTGGTGGTAGCAGAGAAAATGGATTTGACCACAAAGAATATGGCAATTGTTCCTTAACATCTTGAGGAAAACATCTACTAACTTTTACAAAAACATCATTTACAGAGGAATCAGGGCTTGGAGAATAAATGAATGGCTGAACCTTTTCATGCTCATTATTACCAGAACCTGAAACCTTCCAAGTGGACTGGATCCTTGAGTTCAGAATACTCTTCAATCTTCTTGAAGAAGAATTTTGAAATATAGAATCACTTCTTTGATGCCTTCGCAAATTTTCATGGTAATTATCAAAGAATATAGAGTTCCTTAGAAAACTAAAAGGGTTTGCACTGCTATCCTCTCTGCAGGAAATGGTATGATTCTTCATATAACCCTTTCGGTTGCAAGGAACTTCAGCACGTAATTCATGACTGGTAAGCAAAGAAAGACCATCCTTTTTATAAGAAAATGTTTCATTTTCACTTACGTCAAAATAAGAAGGGATGACATAACCCCTTTCATTGGTTTCACCAGTGGCTTCCGTTACACACAGGGGAAAACCTATACAGTTATAAAAAATAAAGGGAACAAAAAAGATAAGTTCCCTACTACCAGAATATGCATCCATCACCTTCTCCACAGTAACATACAGAGGGCCTACAAGTGAGAGAAAGAGAATACTTTTCAGGATGCGTCCACAAAACAATACAATAAGACAAAATTTTACAAATAAATTGATTACCATTTGAATTATTTGGTTCAAATATCAAGGTTTCAGATAATGAAAACTTGGTTTCACTGAACTTCGCCAATGAGCAGAAAGTTTCTAAACGAGGAAATTTTAAATTAGAACATTTAAATCCATCAATGCTGATCTCCAGTCCTAGGTCATGCGAGGGATCAATATGATACACGGAAGTTTCCACCTAAAAGGGAAAATATGTTGTTAAGTCTTTAGACTATTGCACCACTGTTGTGAACAGATGTAACACTTGCGCACACACCAAAAGAAAAAAAGGAAAAACAAACAAACTATCACAAACCTCTGAAACTCTCACAGTATGATCTACCCCACCACTCTCGCTGATCAACAAAATTTCCTTAGGAAGATAATTGTTAATTAATAGTGGAGCACTAAGGATCAAGTGATGAATATATCGCTTCTTTAAATCATCTGCAGGGACATTATTTTTCGACCAGCCAGATGATGTTAAGCTGATATTCTTAACCGATAGACAACACCGAAATGGCCGACTACTTGGGTGAGAGGGATAGCACATGAAAGATTTAAAATTGCCAACTTTACTATTTACTGAAAGAAGATTTGAGAGGTTATGAGCTTCACTCCACAAGTAAGAGTTCCCCATTGGCCGCCACCTGACACAACCAGCTTCAGCCAAATGCAGTGGAAGTGGAAACTGTTGACCAGGTTGTATTGGACCTAATATCTGAAGTAATAAAATGATACATCATTCAAGTAATATTAACAATTGAAATTGTGGAAGAGCAGGAGAAAACATGTACCGTTGGTGACACACCAAATGGAATATCAAACCGCAGCTCAAGAGGTGTAGTGGTTGCATTTAAAAGTACAACCTGTATATCAAAAAGTTAACTTACAAGGAGAAAAAAATGGATGGAGTAGATGGGAAGAAATAACAAATTGGTACATACAGTTGAATATATTCGTATTAACTTGCTATAGCGCAGAACTGAAACATCAAATACAACAGGTACAACAAAAGTAGGGCCTGTATATATTCTACCATCCTCGATGTTTTCATTGTATGTCTTGGATAAATTAACCTCAAAGCATGTCAGTCCCACTAAATCCATTGAAATTGGATCAGATGATCTAGAAGTTCCTTCAAGCTGCACAGTAATGTAATGATGAGCAAAGCCATTTGACCGTTGATCATTTAGACTATCAGAAGAATAAGAAGGCCTGAAACGTAAGAGCTTCTGTTCATCATTTTCATTCACGTATATTGGAATTGAAGAACCTGGCTGCACATATTTTGCATGATTCTCATCAGAATCAGAGTGTTCATTAGGATTGACAGGGCCATGATATACACGATATATAAGAGGCACAGAAGTTAGGTTTTGTAGAATATAAGGAGCACCATATTTTCTGGCACACGTGTATTCAGCACAAGGTGAACGTGAAAGTGTGTTGCCTTCGTGATCTTCTAATCCCATTAAACCCATGGCATCAAAGAACATCTCAGTAACACGTGATAGACACTGCAAAAGACACAGATCACAGATAAAATTTGGGTAAAGCTTCATGTATAAACAGACAAAACTCAAGGTAGAGAATGATAAATACTAGTATATTTAAAACCATCAAACAATGCAGAAACTGTAGAGAATTAAGACTGAAATCCAATTTCACACAGTAAAAAGCCTTTGAAACCTAAGCCAAAATAAAAGATGAAAAACAGAAGTCCCCATGTTAACTTGTAATCTTATTCTGAGCACATAACAGAAGTATAATGTAGGGACCACAACTATCCCTTTTAGCCAATTTATTCAATCATTCAAAGGAAAAAAAATCAGTTTAAGAGAAAACAAATAAAAAGCACAATGTGCCAATAAATTATATTTTATACTTTAAAGCAGAATAACAAAAACACAATTGAACTATTATATTCATAGGGCTAATGGATAAGCCAATACTTCAAAATAGTTTTCCATTATCATAGATAAGTATTAACCACGGTGTTATAAGAACATCAAAATGATCACCCACCAAATAAAAGAATCCAGTCTAGTTATTTCCTTAGGACACATAAGCTGACAGAAAAAAGATATGTCAGAGAGTCATATCAAATAATAGGTTTCTATAAAAGGAAAAACAGAGAGAGAGAGAACAAATATTCATATACCTCCACTAAAGACTCTGTAATATTAATGTTCAGCTGAGTTGTAGATTTGAGAATGATATCTGTTGAAACGGACCTGTTCGGCAGAATACTTGTTTCCTGTTCCCTGACTAAAGTCAAAAGAAACTGCCAAGGCTCAATAAAAGGCTCCCACGACACCTTGAATTTTGCAGCAAACAACCACATCAGCAATTCGTTAATGCAAGAGAAATAAAATAATAGCCATGCTATGTATCAGGCTGGAAAAAACAAAGGAAATTTCATTAAATACACCTTTTCAATGTTGTTGTAGTTTACTTGGAGATTGCCATCGACAGAACATTCTATGTGCTTTCCACTTGCAATTGTATGAAACAGGATGTTTCTGACAATAATCTCAAACTGAGGTCCATTATAGCTCCACTAAAAACATGAAATAAATTAATAAGAAAAAAAAAAGATGAGGAATCAAAAACACTTTGTCAGAAAGTCATAAGGTTTGCTATTTCCCCCTACTCTTTGATGAATATACTAAAGTATCAACTCAGTCCTACACTCACATAGGCAAGACACTGGCCTTTCAATTCCTACCTCTTTTAAGGAAATGGTATAAGTGCTCAATTGATTGCTATCAAGTGTCATTTCCTCCTACTAGTAAAGACCTATGTTGGAAACGCAGGTTCAACATATTCCCCATGTGAAGTGTTATGGCAAACTAGAATTCTAGACTAATATATCATCAACAACAAAAAATCCCTCCTCTGAGAAAAGACTGAAACAGATTTGATAGTAGATTGGAACGTTGACAGCACACTCATGAAACCAAAAGGCCTGACAAGGTATGCATAAGAGTCTTATCGTATGAAAGAATGTTAGAATGATAAACCCAAAACCAGAAAAATAAAATAAATTAGTAATTGATGAACAAAATGTTAAATGTCAGCAAAACGTACTATAAAGTACTTTGAATATAAAATACTATCAAAATACCTTTCCATCTGTCAGTAGAATAGAAACTTTCCGTATCCTGAATTTGCAATTAATACCACTAGTTGAATATTGAGAAGTTCCTGATTTGGGAACATCAAATTTTACAGCACCCCATAAATGAAAAGCAGGATGCGAAATCCATACACTTGAATGATCACACATTATCTCCACATTGAGTTCAATGATGTTTGTATGGTTCTTACACAGTACAGCATCCACTTGAACCTGAATTACATCAAGCAGTGGCCAAGATGTGTGCCTTCCATTCTCAACTATCATTATTTCACTGCTTAATTTTTCTAAATTGGACCTCAGTTGCATATCTCTGCCTCTTAAGACTAATTCAAAATCATTCATGTTCAAAGAAACAGTAAGAAATTTTGCATCTTTTTCTTCAACCATATCCAAAGATACACTTAAAGGTGTCCCATTGTGACCTTCTGCATGCTGAAATTCCACACATGGTTCTTCGCTAGCCCAAACAGGGATGTGAAATGAAATACAAACATTTTCCGACCTTATAATTAATAAGACATCATTCTCAATCTCTTGAGACGTAAAAGGCGCTGAGGTGCTTTCAGAATCACTGGAAACATTTATTTTTTTTACGGAGCTAGAAGCATAGACATACAAACTATTCCTTGTTGGATTCACAGGAGTTCTTTCCATGTGTACACAGAAATGATTAAGGAAATTAACCACCTCAGTCCACTCAGCCAAATGAAGCCAAAAATCAAGAGATGAAAGATAAAGTCTGAGTTCATTCCAGCCTTCAATAGATTGAGAAAAAGAGATACCAAGTACTGATGTGGAAAAGGATGTCGGTGTGCATTTTGCTAAGACAGAATCATGTGGAGAGAAAAACACTAATGTAGAGAAGCCCAAATCTAACCATACCAAAGAATCATTTATTATGGATGCAGAACAGATAAACCTTAAATCACCCTTGGTTATTAATTCCACAAAATCTTCTTTTCTATGACAGAACCTTATCAATAAAGACTGAGTGCAACATTTAACTTCTGTTGATATAATAGTTGAGGCTGTCATAGTTTGGGTTGCCTCTAGGCTTCTTTTTGAATGAAGAAATTGCAGAACATCGGATTTGAAACACTTCGATTGATCATCAACTGAGGAGAGTTCCTCAATAACATCTCTTATGGCCATACATCCATCAAAAAAGTAGCTATCTGTTTGTTAAAAGAAAAATTCATTATTACAATTACATGATTCAAGAATATTAATATAGAAGTAGTGAAGTACATGAATATGAAAAAAAAAAAAATGGTAATACCTTCAGCAATAATTTGACAACTGGTGATGCTTGTCATGAAACATATTGATGAAGTGTTTTTCCAATTAGACTCACCTCCACATGGAACTCTCACCCAAATATCAGCATTTATGGGTGCAATTAGGGCACTTGTTATAAATTCTGTATTCCATTCAATTGTTGCTAAACCAAGCATATCATTCTTGCTTAGAAGGAACGATATGAACAAGTCTCGCCCAAACACATTTAAACAATTATTTCTTTTGGCAAGCTTATGAATAGGAACTGAAGCTTCAAGAGGGATGTTCTTTAATACATCATCAAAACCAGAATTCTCATTGAAACTACAATAAAGCTGCGGCATTTCAATCTTTATAAACTGATGTTCATTACATTTCACTGGAAAAATAAGGTTAGAGTCCAAGATTTCAAACTTATAACTAACTTTCATTTCATTTTTTAAATCAATATCACTTTTCTCTTCAGAGGAAAACCTATCAGTCAAAGTGCCACCCCAATCAGATAATGAGAAGTAACCAATGATAATGGACAGATATTCAGAAGGTAACATGCAATAGACATGCTGAATACCGATGCTTACTTCCAAATCAGCAGTTGAAGATATATTTTGTCCTTTCCTGACCCGTACATTTACAATAGGAGATAAATTTGCTGCAGAGGGACCCCATAGATAATCTTGAAAATTTCGAGGCCCCCAAGATGTTGTGAGAGTCAATCCCTCAAAAGAAGACAATATATCCACACTGTCTTCACAAACTAATAGAGAAGACTTAGATGTAGGCACCATGATTGTTCCAATAATGCATGATGAGTCATGAAAATGCATTCTTATTCCATTCAGAAGCAATTCAGTTGAAAAAATATTTAAGGTGCTCTCGATCCCAGATTCTTGAAAAAATCCACAATCAGATTTGGATTTTGCTGGAGAGACTTGGAAAAATTTGGACCCTCTTCTCATATTTATTTTGGAACTTTTGATTTTACCATCCCTCAGGGTAAAATATTTTCTCCAGTCGGGAATGGCATACATGAGTGCACTCTCCAGATTACCAAGCAAACCAAAATTGTAAATTGTTACAAAAGGAAAACGATCCAATGGAATGCATGCAGAATCAGTGGCACCAAATTCAAAATAATTTGAGAAGCCAAACTTCTGTAACCCAAAACTTGAGAAAATTTGTGAAATGTCAACAGAATTACTAGTAGAGGATTTCTCAAAACTGCTACTATAGACAGATAATTTATCAAAAAATCCATTAAGCAGTCCAGCAATATGTGGGTAGAAGTGGATATCAGCATTACTTAGGTAAATAAAAAACTTATGACCAACTAACTCAGTTCTGGGAGATTCATAATGCATAGCAAAACATGCCTCAGCAAATATAGCTGCATCAGAATATTGATCAAACTCAATATTTGGTCCAGGAACAGAGTCTTCCCCAACTGCAGCACCAGGAGAGGATGAATTCCCTCTTAAAAGCAAAATATGGCTGTCTTTTTCCTCTTTCATTTTATAAGCACAGATCATTAAAGACTTCACACAGACAAAAAACTCCTGAAATTCTGTAGAAGCGGCCCTGCAAATAGTAACACAAAACATGAAGAATTGGTTTAAGTGAACATCAATATTCAAAATAAGGAATTGGGGGCTGGGGTAATGATAAGCAATAAGACAAGTTTCCATATTCATCCGAACAATTGGCAAATACACAAACCAATCTAATGAACGCACTGTAATGGAACTCAAAAATCTTGTTAGAGTTGAATTCCTAAATCACGTATGTGATTAGGTGTTCTACTCTGCTTTCAGAATAGATTGGATGAATCCAAACACCATACACTGGTCCTTTTCATAACCCAAAAATACGATCCTAGCACTCATCTCTTTTAAATACCACAAATAAGCATTATAAAGACTTGTACAAGAACGGCCCCACCATGCAGAATGGATTAGGTGAACAAAGTACAAGTTCAATTATCACCACTTGATAAAATGGAGAGTAGTTTTTCAAATTGCACATCTGAAGTCAAAATGTAAACAACAGTCCCCATGGAAACAGGCAACTAGAGGGATATCTGAACATACCTTACAACAATTTCTTGCATGGAAACCATGAGCTCTGAGCTGTTTTCTCCACTATTTTCAAGATCAACTTCCAGATCAACTGAATCAAGTTTTGAAACAATGGATATGCCAAAAGTAGAATATGTTGGCACAACTGAAACAAAAGCGGGAGGATAAGGACAGTTCAAGACTTCAGATTCACCTCTTACATCCAATGTGCCCAGATGAGTCATCAATTCTATTAATGCACCATATATTGAAGGAGAGAAGTGTGCTTTAAGAGATTCTATGAGTACATAAGCCTGAAATTCAGAAGTATTAAGCAAGGTTGGTAAAAATCAAGTTTCAAGTTTGGAATAGAAGAGTGGTGTCGTAGGTGCGGCGGATTGTAACACGACTCATAAGAGTCAACTAAAATGCTAAAATATATTTAAACACATACATGCAAAAAAAAAAAAATAGCATAAAGAAGAAAAATAACGCTTATATCATGACAAACATTTGATAAAACTAAAATTAAATATACATAAAGTCTTAATAGTCAATACAACGTAAAAGTCATCACAAAGTCTCATAACATAAATTTTTTACTAAACAAAAATAATGCATAACTGAAGCATAAAAGAAACTTGACACTTTAACAACAAAACAGAGCCCACAGTGGGGTGTAGTGTAGCAAACACCCAATAACTTGCTGTTTTTGATAAAAAAAAAAACAGCACACTACTAAATCACACACAAACAGAGAACTAGAGCAGAAAAGAGAAGGAAGAAATACAACTGCAGCACTGCAGAGTGGGAGACAAGTATGATCAAGTTATTTAAATAGATATATATGAAGAGCTAATCACCTCTAACTGCTTCAAAATGGACTCGTCTGGGACCACACAAAATGCCAATAAGAATGACGTGCTAAATTTCTCAAGAATAGAAACCTTTTGTAACTGGTCAGAATTCATCATGGTGATCTGCAGTAACAAGCAGCTATCCAATAGTTACCACAATCAAAAGGATGGATAACAACTGTATAAATCAAGCAAGAATCATACTTGAGTAAGAGCCCAACCTTAAAATCATTAAGCGCAACATTAAAATACTGATATAGATCTTGAACTCGGATGCCTAAACAAATACCAGATGAGGACATTGAATTTAAAAAGCTCTCCATAGAGTAGGGTTGTTTCCCAACTTTTGAAGAGAAAGACTCAAGACCAATTGTAGTTTTAAAGCATAGAGACCTTGACTGCATTACCTGTGGAAATAACATCAGTAAGCAGCATAATGAAGAAAAGAAAACAAATAAGAACTAAAATGCAATATAAAAATGTCAATGAAAAAATTCTCAAGGGAATGAGGTTAATAAATAAGTAAAACTGCAGCCTGTAGCCATATCTCTAGCACCACATAATGTTTTCTTCATGAAAAAACTATTGAAAAATTCACCATTTGAAATATGAGAGATTTATTTTTCCAAACTATATTAATAACAGTGATTTACTTCAAATTTGAAGCCCTCTAACCACTTTGTCTCTTGATTATTGAGATATGTGCAGATCAAGCATGGAAAATGTTTCTCATCCATTTTTTGCATAAAGATTGGGTCTGCCCACAGTTCATAAGAACTTTTGCTGCTGATTTTAGAGGATTTGGCACCAATATAAATGCTTAAAGGCTATGGGTTGTTCTAATATTGTAGTTCTTTGGTGTATCAAGTCGAAAGAAATGCTAGAACTTTTGTTGGTTGATTGTTGACACTAGAGTTCATTTGGAATAAGTTGTTACACTCAACTTTAGGAGTGTTCTGCAAATAGTCTTTCTAGGGGTTGTCTTTGGTTGATCTAAAGAGAGTTTGGCATGCTGTGTTAAATGTTGTGTGTTAACCTTTTTCTGCACTCCAATAAAATACACTAAATTACAGCATAAACAACACATTCCTACAATTTTGGCTCCTTTATGACAAATCATTATACCAAACCAATAAAAAATGCCTCAGAAGTTGAAGAACACACCCAATGCTAGCCATGGACCACAAAAAGGTTGTTCCAAAGGAAAGTAGCTGATTCATAATGAAAGATACATGGCATAACTCTTTATTTTGAGTTAAGTTAATTTGTCCATTGAGGTCATCAAACCATAATGAACACAAATAAAACACATAGTTAGGAATAAAGAGGAGTTACCAAGTTGCTATACAATGATGCTGCATTTCTCCAAGGAAAATTAACAGAAACATCAGCAATAGTCACATCCCACATAACGCTCTTACGGTTTAAAAATATATATCTGCAGATTAGACCCACAGTTACCTTTATTGTTTGAGATCATTTGACATAAAAAAAATGTTAATTGTGAAAGCACAACTTACTCTGCTTTGGATAAGAGCCGAATATTGTCATCTTCAATTCCATTCAGAGACAACAGAACCTGCACTTTGACGGAAACAACAGATATTTAACATCTTTTAGCACCAAAATACAAATACAAGAATATATTATCCTTGGATGGGAACTACAATAAGATCGATAAAATATAGACACTTCTTTCATAGACTACAGCCCTCCATGTCTATGCTGTTCTATCTTATAGAGCGCAATGGGGTCATTTAAACCATGTAGCCGACCCCAACTAGGGTGATAAACTTTAATTGTTATTGATGTAACCAAAATGCAAAAATTTACTACATAAGTGGTACTGTACAGCATTGTGAATGCAAAGTTACCCTAACTTGATTAGTTCATATGTTTTCAGCTAGTTCAATATCTTGTCAATGAATCAGTAGTAGTTTGTAACAGAATCTGTTAGCTTCTAAGAGAGTAACTTCCAATCATAACAATTGCCACCAACTGTTGTAGGCTTGTAGCCGTGTATAAATATTGTAAGCCACTTGAACATTAACCGAAAATAGAAAACAGCTTTACTATAAATGCTCTACAATTCCCACATCAGCTACCAATTTTACTTTCCCCCACTTCCTTGCATTTTCTTTTTCTTGTGATATGATATCAGAGCTGAGTGAACCTAAATGACGATACCACCATCAAACATTCTTCAAAATTCGTGAGAAGATAACCCTACCACTACCTTAGTTCATGTCACTTCTACTTTGCAACAATATCTTTTTCTCACACGATAGAATCATTTTGATTTGGAGGCAGTAAAGTGAAGCTGTCATTAACGCCACAGACTCCATGGGTTAATGATGAATCCAGAAATTCCACACATGTCCTGACTGAAAAAGAGTAGGATATTGAGATCATCCATGTGTAGTATCACTGTTACAAGATCAAATATTTTTTTTCACAATAAGCACTCATGCAATCTCCCCAATCCCATATCAATCATCGGGATGCAGTGGTACAGATTCTCATTAAAATACAAAAAGCTGGTTATTGTGATGCAGATTGGCAGGATCTCCAATTGATATAAGTCGGCATGCAATTCATATAAGCCACTTATGCAAACTCAAATACCAACCATGGAATTGTATCTTTGTTGGCAGAAATATTATCTTAGGAAAGTGACAAGTAAAATGTTGCACAGTCTAGTGCAAAAGCTGAATATAGCCACTTTAAAGTTAATTTGGACTAAGGAACTTCAAGAATTGAAGTTAGGAGAACGGACATAACCAATAAATGGAAGATATGTTGAGATAATCAAGCAGCTCTGCGTATAGTTTCTAATCCTGTTTCAAGAAAGAACTGAGCATATAGAATTTGATTGTCATCTAGTCAAAGAGAAAGTCCATTCTAAGGAAGTCACCATAGAGACTTTTAGTTCAAATCACCAAAGAACAAATAGCTCATCTTAACAAAGGCACTTATAATATTTGGGTTGATTGATTTTTAGGACACAACTTAAGGGAGAGGGTTGAGAGAGTGCACTACACATGCAATTAATGTGACGGTGGGTCCTATGCATTTTATCAGTCTACATTGCATTGCAAGCCTAATTTGCCAAAGTCCCTCAGGGGACCTCAAATTCAGTTTATGTGTTCAAAGCTTGGAGCATTTGAGTTGTACGCTCCAGCTAGAGAGGAATGTTAGAAATAGCAGTAAGTAATTTTCAATTTCATGTCCATAGATAATATTATTCATGTACTTAAGGAGTAGAAACATTATTTATAGACTTGTAAATGTAAGTTGTAATTATTTCTTAGTGTAAATAAATATCCAGTCTGCTTGCTGTTATTTGCTCAAAAAGAACAGACTAGTATACAATGGACATCACCAAAGAACAAATAGCTCATCTTAACAAAGGCACTTATAAGATTTGGGTTGATTGATTTTTATGACACAACTTAAGGGAGAGGGTTGAGAGAGTGCACTACACATGCAATTAATGTGACGGTGGGTCCTATGCATTTTATCAGTCTACATTGCATTGCAAGCCTAATTTGCTAAAAAAAAAATAGAGTCCTGCACCTACAATCAATACAGTTTCCTCAAACAACTTCCCATCTTACGAAGGTAAAAGAAGATAAAACAATCCCATGTCAGATTGAAATATCATTGCCAGCCAGAAAAGCAATATTAAAAGCAAGGAGCAGGGAGCAGGAAGCAGGAAGCAGGAAGCAGGGGAGCACAATAATAAAAACAGGACATCGATAAAAATATTGCATACCCTTTCATTATGAAATTTGAAGGATGTAAAGACATCATAAAACTCCAACAGATTTGATAAAATGTTTGCATCAAATGTCACTTTAAGTGGTTGAAGCATTCCCTGTTAACATAAATTTGGAAAAGAAAAGTCATATAACATGACATTTCTGCTTTAACTTCGCATGCCAACATAAGCATATCAATGCTAGAAACTCACTACGCAGAACTTGTTATCAGTGACACGCAGTCAAATACCTTTACTGACATATCCACATCTCTGTGAGATGAAAAATTTACTTGAATGCTGCATGAATGATCCACAACATCCTGTATATTGCTTTTCACAATGGGCTGCAAATCAAAGAATAACCTTATCAGTATCAATAGAAGTGAAGAAATAATAATAATAAGAGTTTTGTTAATCTCAGCCCTTAAAGCTGAGAATAAGCAGCTAATAATAGTAAAATTTTATTTAAAAAAAAACAATATTTCTTCTATTTTTTTTAACTTCAATATAATAACTGTACTTTTTTTCATAAAAAATTTCTATTTGTAGATGTTAAATTCAGCTCTAAAGGCTAAGGTTAACAAAATCTTAATAACAATAATAAAAGTAATAATAATAATAATGATGATGATGGAAAAAAAAACACTATCTATGATAATACTTGAGACAGAAAAATAATTAGGGTAAAAACTATCTTTCCTTTCTTGTCATTCAGAGGTTCTTATAAGAGAAATCTGTACAAAACTAGATCCCTTGATTATAGGGATTGACTATGTAAATACAGCAGAATCCTAATTACATTATTTACATAATCAACTAGATTTCTATATAAAAGGAAAGAAGGTAAATATGGAAATACAAATATTCTTAACACTCCCCCTCAAGCTGGTGCATATATATCATATGCATCAAGCTTGTTACAAATGTATGTTATCCTTGGACCTCGAAGTGCCTTGGTAAGCATGTCAGCTAATTGATCATTAAAGTTCACAAACGATGTAACAATCTCACCAAAAAGAACCTTTTGACGAATGAAATGGCAATCAATCTCTATATGCTTGGTCCGTTCATGAAAGACAGGATTAGAGGCAATATGTAAGGCTGCCTGGTTATCACAAATAAGTCTCATAGGTCCTACCTCACAAAACTTTAACTCAGCAATAAGCTGTTTTAGCCATACAAGTTCACGAGGTATTGGCCATTGCTCGATATTCAGCTTCAGCACTTGATCTAGCAACAACATTCTGCTTTTTACTCTTCCAAGCAATTAGGTTGCCTCCAATCAATACACAATATCCTGAAGTTGATCATCTATCACTTGGGCAGCCAGCCCAATCCGCATCTGTGTATGCAACAATATCAATATGTTCTCTGTTTTCATAGACTAATCCTTTTCCAGGGGAACCTTTGATGTATCTCAGGATTCGAATCACTGCATCCCAGTGACTATCACGAGGGGAGTTAAAAAATTGGCTTATAACACTGACCGGAAAAGATATGTCTGGCCTAGTCATAGTGAGATAATTCAATTTTCTGAATAGTCTTCGGTATTGATTTGGATTTGAATACAACTCCCCTTGATCCGGCATAAGTTTGACATTTGGATCCATAGGGGTATCAACTGGCTTACAATCCAACATTCCTGTTTCCTTCAAAATATCAAGAGCATATTTTCTTTGAGATATGGCAACCCCAGTTTTTGATTGAGCTACTTCAATCCCAAGGAAATATCGCAATCGACCCAAGTCCTTAGTTTGAAAATGTTGAAACAAATATTGCTTGAGTCAGATGATACCCTCATGATCATTGCCTGTGATAACAATATCATCTACATAGACAACAAGATAAATGCACTGGTTAGTAGAAGAATGTTTATAAAACACAGAATGGTCTGCCTCACTACGAGTCATCCCAAACTGTTGGAGAACTGTACTAAATCTCCCAAACCATGCTCGAGGACTTTGTTTAAGGCCATATAGAGCCTTACATAACTTGCAAACAAATCCTTGGGACTCCACCTGAGCAACAAAACCGGGAGGTTGCTCCATATAAATCTCTTCTGCTAAATCACCATGGAGAAATGCATTTTTGATATCGAGTTGGTAGAGGGGCCAGCAACGTGTGGCAGCCATGGATAAGAAGAGGCGAACTGAAGTCATTTTTGCAACAAGTGAGAAGGTGTCGCCATAATCAAGGCCGAAAGTCTGTGTATAGCCTTTAGCGACTAATCGGGCTTTAAGCTGATCAATTTGTCCATCGGGACCCACCTTAATGGCAAACACCCAACGACAACCAACAATAGATTTCCCAAGAGGAGATGGAACAAGTGTCCAGGTCTGGTTGGATTCTAAGGCCTGCATCTCATCAATCATAGCCTGTCGCCACCCTGGATGAGAAAGTGCTTCCTGGACTGTTTTAGGAATAGTAACAAAGGAAATAGCAGACACGAAGGCACAATGGGAAGAGGATAAACGATGATAACTCAAGAAATTATAAATGGGATGAGGATTTCGAGTTGAACGTGTACCTTTGCGAAGGGCTACTGGCAAATCAGCAGGTGTGTCAGATGAATCCGGAGTAGGTAGAGCAATTGGCGTAGGAGATGGGCTTCCTGAATCTTTCAAAACTACGTCTTCTAGCAAAACAGGACGAGGTCTACGTTGGTATGTAGCCAGGGGACGAGGAATAGCAGGTGAAAAGGGATTAGGAGGTTCTGGCACATCAGAGATTGAGGTTATGGATGGATTTCCAGAGAAGACAAAGGATACAGGATTTTTGTTTAAGGGTTCAGTGCTGTCAGGGGTAGAAGACTTGGTTGGGTCAGAATCCATGACTAAGCTTGGTGAGAATCGGAGGAGACTAAACACAGCTTACCAACAGGGAAAAGGACACCCAGAACAGATAGAGGGTGTGCCGACGAGCTGAACGGGACCAGCGGCGAGACGAATGGAGTGCGTAGGACGGCACGTGGCCTTCACACACCGACGGTCTGGTTTTCTGGTAAGCGTGCGTGACAGCGCGTGGGACACCGAGAGACGACGGCGATCGGTGGGACAGCCGATCGGAAGCTTCTCGAGCTAGTGCCGAAGTCTCAGGCCAAACGGTGGCCGGACGTCGGGACAACTAGGCGCGGCAGTACTGTGCAGTACTGTAGATGATTTTATCAGGCCCATAGAAAGTGAGTTCTGATACCAACTTGAGACAGAAAAATAATTAGGGTAAAAACTATCTTTTCTTTCTTGTCATTCAGAGGTTCTTATAAGAGAAATCTGTACAAAACTGGATCCCTTGATTATAGGGATTGACTAGGTAAATACAGCAGAATCCTAATTACATTATTTACATAATCAATTAGATTTCTATATAAAAGGAAATAAGGTAAATAAGAAAATACAAATATTCTCAATAATAATAATAATAATAATAATAATAATAATAAGGTATCCACGGGATGTACACTTAGGAATCAAACAAGGTGGATGAAACAGAAAAATGTTTCAAATGACATTTGTGACTGAGGCTATTATTAAAACTTGAAGAAAAACTCTACCCAACATCTATCAAACTAACAATCCTCTTTGGCTGTAAATGTTGGGAGTAAAATGCCAACATCTAATCCCTCATAGTCAAAATTGAGATTCTACATAGGATCGGAGAAGAGGTCAAAGATCATAACTCGTAGGATCGGAACACTAATTGTAAAATCCTACAAAATTGTATGTATGCATATAAAATTGTATAAATAGGAAGAAAACAAAGAAATTAAAGAACCTTAAACATAATCCAAAGCAAATAAAAAAATACTTGAAAAGTACAAATTTTAAAGGATGAATCTAAAACAAACACATGATCTAAATCAAAGTACAATTTTTTTATATTTGTTTTATCATATCTAAAATATTTTGATAATCAAAAATATCATAATCAGTTTCATCTTCATTTGGTTCATCATCTTTTTCACATATAAATTGTCTATATTAAGAACATTACCAACATCTTGATTTGAACCTTGGTCTAAATCCAAGTCCTCATTTTCATTTAGGGCATTAGCATCCTCCAAATTGTCTTCTAGGCCCAAAACTTCAAAGTTTCGTCTATCATTATTTTCCACTATCTACTCATTGTCAAATGGAATATCATCTCCATTTATGTCAAGATATTTCACTCTCCTAGCTATCCTTTTTTTGGCCAATTTTGAGTTTTCCATAAAGTACAAAATCATTTATTGTATTTTGCTTCAAACAATTTCTTTTTCTAATATACACCTAAACAAATAATAATATATTAGATTATAATTTAAGAGAAAAATAGTTGACTAGTATATAAATTTAGAAAAAAAAGATCTCTACTAATTATCTCAAAGGCACTCTAGTTACGTTCACCCCCCAAAAGAACTACATGTCAACTTTAATGTTCGAATAGCAAATCTTTGAAGCTTAGGATCCTCATCTCCATAAGACACCCACTAATTAGATGGCAAACGCATATCAATAGTGATTCTAGCCATGTGAAGACCAAAATTACCAGCTTGCTTTCTAAGTAAATCAAATTGACAAATAATCATATAGCCTACGCTTAACTTCAAGATCAGCCTTAAATTTAGAAGTATAAAGTTTTTTAGGGGTTGTTTAGGAAGGAGAGTTTTAGAGAGGAAGGAGAAAGGAAGACAAATTTTATATTTTAAAAAAAATATATTTAAAATCAATATTTATTCAAAATAAAATATAAAAATTAATATATTCACATAAATTTAATGTATTAATCATGCATTTATTATCATAAGTTATATATAATAATTATAATTTAAGATTAAAAAATATGACTTTCTCTCTTTTCCCCTCTAAAACCCCCCTTCCAAACATACTCTTAGCATGAAGAAAATAGCTTGCAGCATGCAAAAGCCTATGAAATTGTTTGTCCCATCTTTCATTTATGATATTCCATATAGGTACAAAACTAATAAAGAGCAAAGCGTAAAGAAGAAAATAAATTGAATTAATTAACAAGATTCAATATGCAATACAATCACAATTCACAAAATATCCACTAATTTAATTTGATAATAGTTACCTTTTCTTAACCCCATTGAAAACAGTTTGAATATTCTTTTTATCTTGATTCATTCCCTCATAAATAAAGCTCATAGTTTCCTCATCTAAATCAACCATTAGAAGTAATACTTAGCCTCACCAAATCTTTGCCTTTGGTTAAATTTTGCAATGAAGAAATAAGACCCATCCTTAAATAAATGTAAGTTGTAATTTTTTTACCTTTTGCAATTGTCTCTTCATGAATGAGTATCTCCTCAAAATCCTCCAACATCAAATCAATGCAATGTGTCACACAAATAGTCCAATACAAGTATTTCCTTTTCTCCATCAAAATCTCCCCTATAGCTTTGTAATTTGTTGCATTACTAGTCACAACTTGGACTACATTTTTCTCACCAATATCTTCCAAAACATCAAACATTTTAAAAATTTTATCAGTTGTTTTTTCTATGAGATGCATCTGATCCATGGACTTCAAAAAGAATGTTCTTTTAAGACTATTTACCAATAAATTCAATATTGTTCTCCTTGTCAGTCCACACATCACTCATTAATGTGTATTCAAGAGTATTCTATTCAGCTTTATGTTCTTCCAACCTCTCCCTTGTCAACTTTATTTCTTTCTTTAAATACTTTACTCTAATCTGATGAAAGTTCGGTAGTTTAAATATGGGATCATGACTAGCAATTAAATCACACGAAACATGAAATTCACCACTTCTTGCCACACTGAATGGTATGGCATTATTATAAAAAAACCTTCAAATTGCTTGGCATGTCTCCTCTTGTATAGTCATGTTGAACATGTTGATTGTTGCTTGGGTGGTTGCACCCTTTTCCACAAAATATTTCCTCCTCTAGACACATCATTCTCACTAGATTTTCTTTTATTTCCACTACTTGTATCTAAAGTCTTCCTCTCAATCGCCCAGACACCACCATAGTCAGCACTAGAATTTTATTTTTTATTCAATTTTTCTTGCATACTTACAAGTCTGTCCTACATTTCTTTCCTCAACTCATCCAGAATAGATTTGCATGCTCCAAGTGATACTTCAGCAAATAAGCACATCCGCTTACTAACTTTTGACAATATTTGCATTGAATTCTTCTTGCACCTTCAATTGCAATCCCATGTTATCATGCTACATCACTCTTGTTTCCTAGTGCATTATTTGGTACTGGCTTAGAAGGAGCTTGACTAGAACTAGAACTACCAATTGCAATTTACTTTGGAGTTGAAGTCATTATGTCAAAATAAAAAGCACAACAACCACCAAACAACTCTCACAAACACAAGCACTGACAGAGCAACAGAGCAGAACTAACCCACCCATAGAGCAGCAGAGCAAAAGATAAAGAATACAAATAGAGTAAAGAGAAAACAAGGCCGTGCTACAGTATGAACATGCTAGAGCAGACAAGGATGCCAGCGCAAAGCAAAGTTATAAGAGCAGACAAGGTCACCAAAGCAAAGCACAGTCGCCGAAGCAGAATGAGGTCACTAGAACAGAGCACTATCACTGGAGCAAAACAGGATTGTTGAAGTGGAACAAAATCGCAGAGCAGAGGAAACCTTTAGGAAAGCAAGTTTTGAATCGATTTTAGGGTTTCAATAGGTTTACAGCAAACCAGGTCACAAAGTGGGTTGCGAGTCATTGGGTAAAAAAATGGGTTTTTTAACATGGGGTGATCATCCATGCTTACCAATTTCACAGTCTAGCATAGCAATCCCACCCGATCTCGCTGGTTCGCAAGATTTTAAAACCGTGCTATTTTATAAGACAGCACATGATTTTGACTACCATGCAAAAATGAGAAGGTTATGGAGGTTGAGTGGATATAGAAGACAATTTAAAATTGGGACAGTTGAATTCAGGAGAAAGTTGGAATAACAACTAGTAAGGAAAAGAGAGCAAAGAAAATCTCCAAAATTGATTTGCATTACATGTTCAATAAGGAAGAAATTCTAAGAATGATACATACCCCTCCAATATGCAGAATGATTTCCCTGTTGTTTGGATCAACCATTTTCCCAGATTTAAATTTGGATATAACAATTCCACGTTCCTTGTAGATATTAGACTCAACAATTCCACCTTCAACAATTATTTCCGCAAATTCTTTCCGATGCATCCTAGAAAACGAAGAGAAAGTTGGCTAAATAATAATAATAATTAGTTGACTACTAAACAATAATAATATATGGATACATGCTATATTTTAAAATGCAGATAACAATCAGTACAAAGAGATAGAGATCAGTAAATGTGAGATTTAGTAGCATCTTAAAAATTGAGTTTTTTTCCTTAATAAAAGTCACTGCAATGGTATAAAAAATGTGAATTGATAGAAATCATGAACCACAAATAAACTGACAGAAAGAATAAGAAAATGGGGTAGGGCATAGAAAATTAAACAGGGAGGATTTATTACTATAAAATTGTAACAGAATGAACATCTTAGCAGTTTATCTTAAATCTATGGTTAGAGAGGTCACTCAGATTCCTGACTGAGTTCAAACTGAATTCTAACAATTCTAACCGCCTGCAGATAGGCTAACAGCTGGGCAAACTACATTACATAAAAGAACATAAACAGTATAGCACATGGTGCAGTACTGCACTATTGAATTGAATATTACTCTAAAATGAATAAGGTGACAACCTAGAAACCATTCCCTTAGCATATAGACAAAAAGATTCTCCTAAAATGCATGTGAACAGAGAACAGAACATAATACTTGCTACATAGAGTTGCAGAAATCTGGTGAATCTCAAGCTTGAATGAAAATATGCACAATTCATGCTTTAAAGCAACATCAACGCTGGATGAAACTAGAGGATGAAATTCAGTTGCTTCAGATATATCCTGCAATAAACCAGCAAACATTAATTGAAAAATGTCATTCCATAATAAAAATAACATGTGCTTGTTTGGTCCAGATTTTGGCTTTTGTAAAAGGAAATTTAAACAATGCAGTATGTGATGTTCATAATTCATTTTTGTTTGGTCATATCCTGAGTTAACAGAACAGCAAAGCAAACAAATTCTCTACAGCACACATAAGGGGATACTCATTCTTTTGAATTAGGATTAATACTTCAAAATTTTTACTTTATATTGATAGTTGCTACCCACTGATTATTTTGCAATCTAAACTATCTGTAACTCTGAAACCTATGCCAGCTGTTTGCTCCATCGACCTCCACTGAAAGTACATCAACATTATCCCCCTTGAGAGCAAAATAGAAACACCTACAGAAATTCATGCACCGATACCTTTGCAGTACTCCTTTCATTAAATCCCTAACACAAGCAAGATGCCAACTCACTCCCTGATTGGATACACTTTGGAGCAGTGCCCCATGGTTTAAACCTTGCAACAGTCTTGCCTTGTGGTGGTGGTCTTACCCATCTCAAAGGGACACAAAACTGAATGAATTCTTGCAGTTCTATGTTCATCAACCATGTCAAGTATGAGCTTAACATTCCACAGTTACTAGGAAATTAATTTCACTAATGCTTTCAACTCACAAAACTTGGTCCTAAACAGAGGGAAAATGTCAAGAGCAGTAAACACAGCACATCTAGCACCTTGGAACTTGGTGCCAACATACTGAGTATCATAATAATTGTTTGAAATGATGTCATGCAATTAGTGCAATACAGCAAATGATATTACCGATCACAATTGTATTTAATCTTTCATGCATTAAAATATCAGTATGCTGAGTGCAACCAAATCAAGCAATTCATAGTTGCATTCTTGATCAACTCCAAAGTTTCATAGCTTAAACTCAAGCAGGTATTAAAGTGGACTTGATTTCACCTCTTCTAGTGCTGTAGGTTTCATCTGGATGGCCAGCATCCCAAAATTCTAAAAGTCAGTCACTGTCATTCGTAAAGTCTTACAGATCAGAGAACCCAGTTCACTTTTCATTACTGTCAAGCGTGGGTGTAGAGTGGAACAACTGCCATGAGGCAGTTGTTGCTAGGAGTTTCAGATTATTATGACAGTAAGTTTCAGAAAGAGTGTTGTAACTTCCATGAGGCGGTCTTGTTAGGAGTATGACAATTATTATGACAATAACTTTCAGAATGCAGAGTGCAATAACTGCTGTGAGGAAGTTATTGTTATTGTTAGGCAATATGGCAGTTTTTAAAGCGTTATTGTTATACAACATACAAGTTAGGAAGTGGGGAGGTAGATTTCGTACGTGTAATATTCTGAACTTCAGAGCACAGTCTCTTGTAAGACATTTTGTGGGAGCTTCATGCTCTGGATGAGCTTAGCTCAATATTTACTAAATAAATTAACTGTTATTGTTGTAGTATTCTATCAAAATTGGTGCCATTCAAATAGCCAGCCACCACTGTTGTCAAATGGTGGTCATGGCAGCGCCATGGTGGATGTCAGTGGCTGTTTTCACCCAAATTGCCACAACCATGAAGGAAAATGGCAGATATAGACCATGGTGGCTTTTACTCATCTGCCGACCATGGCAGAAACTGCGGCCATGGTGGGAAATGTTGGATTTCAAGGAAAAAAGTGAATTGGGCCTCTGACCCAACCTGGTCCAGAATGAACCGCAAAAAGAAAAACCCTAAAACCTAGGTTTGTGTTGCATTTCATTGTCGCAGCCATCGCAGACACTAGCAGTGGAACTGGAAATTGCTTTTCATCGACCCAAAAATTTCCTAAATTTTTAACGTTGCAGAACCATTTATGGGGGGTATTTTGGGGTTTTTGGGTTTAAAAAAACAGGTTGGGGGCCTCCTCGCATTTTTGCACCTCCTTTTCTCTAACCTTTTAGTCTTGTGCAATTCATCAACCCACTGCTCTCTAGGGGCTTTCCAGCGAGTTGCTGGTGTTTCCCGGCCAGTTTCTGGTGTTTCTAGCAAACCACTGTTCTTTTACCTATGTCTTGTATTTTCGGCTAAAAGCTCTGATTTTCGCTTTGTTTTGCTATTTTTTGGCAAGTTGTTGTCCTCTCATTGTCCCTTTCTTCTTTTGTTCTCATCTTTTCTATTTTTTTATTGGTTTTATTTTCCAGCTATTTTGTTCTTTTATTTATTTATTTATTTTGTACAGATCTCTCCTCATTCAATTCTAATTTTATTTGGTTTTCAATGTTTTATTACCTTAGAGACTTTGAGTTAGATGCTTAAACTTGTTTATTTCCTTGACTTATATTTATTGTCTAAACCTCTTCATTTCAGCTTTCCTTGACATTCCCTCTTTTTTTCTCAAACCATTTTCCCTTTCTTGGTTTTATTCTGTGTCTTCGTGTTTATATTATTTCAATACTGCCATGCTTCCGCCATGGCATCAACCATAACTTTATGGCAGTTTTTTGACTGTCCACCATGACCTACCTTCCACCATTGATAACATTGTTAGCCACTACTCTTTCTTTACTAGTGGCAGTTTGCTCCAATTGAATTCTACAATATACTGGTCCAAACAATACAGCATCTGGTTACCCTCCACATAACAAGCATGCTAACTTTTTCTATCAAATCAAAGTGTGAGTATTAAACAGCCTCTATTTTATTACCAAGATATCTTCAAATACATTCAAAGTCCAAACTTAGTGTTTAACTGTATGTGTTGGGAACTCTAGAATTTGAATATCTCTCTAGTTTAGGAGAAGAGAATGATTTCTTTCTTCATTATTCAATTAAAGAATTATAGTGAGAATAAATAGGCAGAGGCAGAATCAATTATAGAGATTCTCTCACCCAAACATATTACAAAATAAATTAAATAAGTGAAAACAAGGAAAAGATCAAATCAGAATCAGAGACAAATTCAAACCTGATTTTATCTATCCTAACTTTCTAAAATAAAGTACTTACACAATCTCATCACTCCCCTCCAACATATATATATATATATATCCAACATGCACACTTACAAGAAACTCAAAGTTAGGTCTAAACAACCCTTTAGTAAAAATGGTATGTCAACTGTTGTGATGTTGGAAAAAAACGGCATGCAAATAACTCCATCAACTTTTTCCTAAGGTGTCTATCAATTTCCACATGCTTGGTCCAATCATGCTGGACAAGGTTCTGAGATATACTTATGGCAGCCTGGTTATCACAATATAGTTTCATAGGGAGAGTCAGAGGAAGCTGCAATTCTTCAAGGATTGTTTTCAACCACAATTTTACACACTCCTTGTTCCATGGCTCTACATTTAGCTTCAAAACTACTCCTTCAACCTACAGTTTGATTTTTGCTTCTCCACGTGACAAAGTTCCACCACACAAAGGTACAATACCTAAATGTTGACTTTCTGTCTATAACCAAGCCAGCCCAGTCAGCATCAGAGTAGATCTCAATTGTTTGTTGTTCAGTCTTCTTAGAAAATAGCCATTCACCAGAAGCATTTTTCAAGTATCTAAGAATTCTGCAGACAGCATTGAGGTGTTCTTCACAAGGAGAGTGCATAAATTTACTTACCAAACTCACAGCAAATGCAATGTCAGGACATGTATGAGATAGATAAATCAATCTTCCTACTAACCTTTGGTACCACAAAGTCTCAACCGTTGCACTTTCCTAGTTATTTCCAAGCTTCTGATTAGGATCAATTGGAGTTTTAGCTTGTTTACATCCAATTGGATTCTTATTTTGTATTTATTTTGTATTGAATTAAGTTTTGAATTGTGTTTAAGATGGTTTGGTCATGTGCAAAAAAGAACTTTGGATGCGCCAATAAAAAGAGTGGATTGCATGACTCTCTGTCCAGTAAAGGGTCGAGGGAGACCCAAAATAACCTTAAACAAAGTTATTAAAGAGACCTTTCGATTAACTAGATTTTTGAAAATTTGGTTTTTGACCAAGTTCAATGGCATCATGTGATCCATGTTGATTACCTCACCTAGTGAGATAAGGCCTGGTTGTTGTTGTTCTTGTTCTTGTTCAGTACACCTGGCTATTTTTAATGAAAGGACATTCTGAATTACTGTTAAACTTTACATCCTTCTGCACTGAAACTCAGTTAAGTAAAACAAGTAAAGTCTTTTGCCATCTTTTATGGACATTTTAGATCAGATTATGTGCCCATTAACCCAGAGGAACTGCTGGAGATTCTTGGAGCAAACTCAATCTTCGTCAAAAACACCAAACAGGTTATTCCAGAAAAGGAAAACTGCCAAGCTATGCCAAACAAAGGAGCTCCAGTTTCAGACAATAATCAGAAGATAATGCAGCTAGAGGACATCAAACTGGAAGTAAATTATTTCTGTTCATACTATTTTAAAACAAAGTCCATACAAAGGATTTTCCTTAGAGGGAGCAATTAATTTCAAAATAGACTTGTCTAAAAGGAAAAATAAGGAAATGATGAAAAAGAAAATAGGATTAGCAGGAAAATAAAGACAATGTATCAAGAGACCAAATCCAATCTGGATTAGAGGAAAGATAAATTGAATCAAGTAACAACATAGGGACTCCCCATCATTCACATTTCTAAAGTGAAAATCTAGGAAAATTTTTTAAACTGAATTAATGGATCTTTGTGTGAAGAAGAGAGATGAAAGAGTCTTGGAATAGCATCAGAAAGAGGAACATTACCCACCCAAAGGTCACATTACCACAGCCATCAACCAAACCCAAGGAAATAAGAGATGGAAAAGAAGCATAATGTTGAATTTTGGTAGACTGAGTTTTAGGAAAATTTGACTGAAGAGAGAGAATTGTTTAGATCAGAATGGTCTCCATTAGTTCAAAGAGAAAACAATTGTATATCATATAGTCAGGTGAATCCTAACTATCTATCTAGCAAATGCTGTCAGAAAACAGTTATTTGTTACAATTGAAATATTAATATTTATCAATTAAGGATTTGTACTCATAACATGTCACCTTGAGATATGAATTTATGAGGTTAGATGTGTATCTTCAACTGCTGATTTGGCATCCCACCCATTAGACCAAAAACCATAAATTACTCTGGATAACCTGAAGCTATAAATAAGCTGCTGTAGAGGAAAGAGCGAAAACAATGTTTTTTCAATCCAAATTTCTAAGTCCCAAATCTCCTTTTCTAAGTCTATAGCAAATACCCCAATAAACAAGATGGTCTCTAATCTATTAAACCCATTAACCTCTGACCAAAGAAAATCCCTCATGACTCATGAGTTTTGCAATCATTTAAGCAACTGCCACTGGAATAAGAAAAATAGACAGCAAAACAGGATACTAGATAGAGATCACTGAATTAGATACCAAAAAGCTTGGGCCACCTAGTAATCATTCTCATGACAGACTTGCAAAATGAAATGAATATTACCAGCAAAATGAATTACTAGATAATTAAGAGACCACAGGAGAATTTGATAACTGGCCAAAAAAAGTAGTAGTTAAAATCTGATCATCCACATAAACACCCGCCAAACCACTTTTAGTAAGGTTAATCATTAACCCAAAAGCCATTTTCAAATAACCTAAGAATTGAAAGGAAAATAATAATGAATTCAATTCTAAGAACAATACAGTATCATCTAGAAATTGAAAGGGAGAAATCAAAACATCCACAGAACCCAATTTAATTCCTTCAAAAAGTCATCTATTGTCAAAATCCCTGCAAAACAAATGGCTAAGAACATCCACCAGTAGGAGGCAAGTCATCTCTCATCTTAGACCTACTTCAAGTTCTCCTTCTCATAGTCAACCTGATTTGTTCTCTGCCTCATTATCTTCCCCTTCTGCTTCACTTCTCCTCCTCATTCACACCCTCCTCCCTTGGCTGATGCCACTGATCCAACTCCAGGTCCTTCGATTCATCCCCAGATCACACATGCCATGCAGTCAAGAGCAAAGTCTGGCATTGTTAAGCCAAGAATTCATCCTACTACACTCCTAACACATCCTCAACCAATCACAGTCAAGCAAGCAACGACAGATTCTAAGTGGCCTGCTGTAATGCAAGATGAATTTGATGCACTTATCAGAAACAATACATGCTGGTTTCCTGCTCTCCAAACAGACAACCTACAGGCTGCAAATGGGTTTATTGTATAAAGGAAAAATCCCGATGGCTCAATAATTAACACATATAAAGCCAGGCCGATAACTAAAGGTTCTTACCAAAGAGCTGATTTTGAATTTTCTGAAACTTTCTCTCCAGTTGTGAAACCAGTAACAGTAAGGACTATCCTTGCAATTGCCATTTCCAAACAGTCTATATTCAACAGATAGATGTAAATAATGCTTCCCCTAATGGCTTCTTAGAAGACATTAACATGCAGCAGCTGCCATCCTCTTCTGTTCAATCCTCCGTTCTCCATTCTGTCTCTGTATCCCTTGATTCCCTTCTTTGTTCCTTCCTTTCAGTGTTGGACTTGGATAGCAGACTCCATTGTGAAACAGGTCTTTCCTTTTCATCTCGTGTGTGTAAATTTTCATATTCTGACTTTTAATCATTTATTATGAACACAACTTTTTGGGTATTTTTTACTTTTCACTTTTCAGCATTTACATGTGCAATATAAATCACTTAGCATAAATCTCAAAACATCATAATAGCAATCATCCCACTACCTACCTGTCTTCCCACTATAGCAGTTTTGCAGTCAGTTGCTCCATAGTCCATGCTGCTATACAAGATTGATAACTACTGGCCAACCCACAATATAACGTGATAGTTTAATAACAAAGCACAGGTACCTTAACATCATATGACACAACCCCAGAAAATTGACTTGAATCATCAGTTCCACCAGCACCAAGCATACCACGAGAAAGCCAATTCAACCATCCCCGAGATTTGACTGCATGTTCTTCATTGCATGACTTCTCTGTAGGAATATCAGTGTGAATCTTGCCATTGTTAGGAGTAGAACACCTTGAAAGAAATTCCTGTAAGAACATAAAAACAAAAAGTGAAAATTACACATCTCAAAGTGCATTGCTTCAAGATAAAAGTTGATAAAAATATGCCAATCCAATAAAGAACACAACACCAAACAAGTGAATTCTTAGTTTTCATTAAATAGCTAATATCACACTCACCCGCATCTCATATTCTGAAGCAGATCGATAATTTAAAATATCATCGAGATCTGATTCTTTCTCCATTTGCTCCAAATCTCGAAGAACATCATCATCAACTGGCTAATAAACAGAAATCCAATAATCATCAGGACAGTACTAAATTATATGGCTAAATTATATGGCAGAGATTGAAAAAGATTTATAATACCCATATCATAGTAATCCTAATTACAGCTATTACACTATTTCATCAGCATTTACAATGAATATAAGTCATATTCAATTCAAGGGCTTCTTGAAGATTTAATCAACACATCTGTCAAGAAGTAATTTAAATTAACAAATCAACTGGTGATGTCTCAACATAAGATTACTATAATAAAATTGCAATCTATCTTAATGTGATTGGTCATTTCATGAAACACTAGATTCAAGACATTTAAGACAACCTCATTTGTCACCACAGTTGCTTGAACCAGTAATCCTGTAGCCTTTGTTTCTCAGTCCTCATCCCCATGGACCTTGGATCCTTGATTCTATTGTATCTAATTAATGTCAAGTAACAAATCTCATACTGTTGTATATCTTATCTGACTTATTCACCAAATGTTGCGTTCAAACATGTCCCATCCCTAACCTTATTTATATTTTGTTGTTTATGTTCCTACATGTCCTTTCAATTTAACTTCAATGAGCAAACTTACTCTGCACATGACCTTACTCAGTTATCTTTTCTAACAATTTTATTCTGGTCCAAGATAGGCATACTAAATGGACAATTGGAGTAGAACATCAGTCTCGAAGATTCTATCATTCCTCACCTCCAGTTGCTTGTGCTGCTGTGGAGCCTCAAGCCATTGTACACCAGCATTCAAATCACGGTGTCTTAATAAAATATATCTCATGATTCCTAATTTTTTTAAAATATTGTCTTCTTAATGAGAGTTTTGTTAGTTACAAAAGCAGACTCGATGTCAAACATTCCCCACCTACTCTAAAAATCCAGCATAGGCAATCTAAGATGATGTCAAACAATCAAATTACACCAAGGGTTCCAATGGAGCAAAATATACAATATTGGCATATCTGACTGCTTGTTGTACAACTTGTTGTCAAGCTCTAATACTTTCAAAACATGCAACTTAAGATTTTATGATTCATCCATGATCACAGCACAGCTTGTTGCAATGGTCACACTCAAGACAAGACTTGCATGACCAATGCTCTGGGACACGAGGTGCAAAGAGATCAACCAAAAGGATGAGGCATATCAGAATCAGGGCAACTTGGTTGGGATCTAGAGTACAGTGGCCAGTAGTGCTCAGCATGTGCAAAGTGGTTCAGTCTAAACACTTATTGTTGTCAGCAAAATATTCCAAAGACAAACCACTGATGACTAGTACAACACCCAAGCCTTATCTCACAAGGTAAGGTCGGCTACATGGATCAAACAACACCATTGAGCTCAGTCAAATCTGGTTAATCCAAAGGTCTCGTTTAATATGACCAATAGCATGAAAAAAATTGTTCTGTTACTCAAGTTCCTTCGGCCAATGTCACTACAAGTGCCAGCAATGACATGAGAGCCAGAAGTCTACTTTTGAGGAAGGATTAAATGATGGATAGAGTGCAGAGAGGCAAGCCCATCAGTGCAAGTAGTAGCCAGAACAGAGCCTCGATACACGGCTTGGGGTGGCAGCAGGCAGAAAGATCCGAAGAGTTCTCCCAGACAGTGGGGAAAGTGTTGATAAGCCATGGCTCAAGACTTCAAATGGCAAGCCAGTCTAGAAAGGACACATCAATTGGATGTGTCATCCTCAGTCAGAAATCTCCACGAATGACAGTGTATGCTTGTTTGAAAAATCACAAATATGGTTTCAAAAAAAAAAAAAAAATTGGCAGCCATTGGGTCCACCAATAGCTATGGAATAAGTTGCAGTTTGTCAAGCTCTAATGCTATCTTCAGGAATGAAATCATGGATGACATATGACAAAATCAATATGTCTAATCTTCAAGACAAAGCTGAGATATTTAGAAGAAAAAAATAATTGCATGTCACAGCTATAGTGATTACCATAACATGTTATTGGGTTATCCTATGCAATGAATTGAGACACTATCATCACATACCTTCAAACCCCATGTAAACATTAAAGGTATTTCTTGCAAATATAAAGGCAAATATATGAAGGATATTATTAGGCTTAAATATGATTTAAGTCCTTGAAAATAAAAACGATTTTTTGTCTTAGTCCCTAAGAAAATTTTATTTTGACTTTGTTCTCTACATGTAACAAAATCAATATGGCTTTAGTCCCTTGCTAGGGAATAATAGCATATTCTTTATAAATTTTAGGGACATAAAATGAATAAAACTTTTTACAAGGACTAAAACCAAAACACATTATACTTTTGAAGTCCAAAAATATATTTAAGCCACATTATAAACATATAGATCAAAATGTGTATGTTTTCAAAAAAAAAATGAGAAAAGAAACCACCTGCTCATGTTGGAGAAAATCCAACTTAGTCTTGTACAAGTTCATATATTTCCGTCGGTAACTTCTGCATCCAGGAAACTAAATGAATTACTGGACAAGGTAGATGAATGTCGAGGTGTGACTGCTTAAGAACACAAATCATAAGGAAATCAAGTATACCCTCTTTTTTCTTTTGGTGTCCTCTAAGCGACAAGAAGGAAGAAGAAAATTTTAAAGAAGGGTAGAAGTATAACACAAAATAAGCACAACATACAAATCTGACAGACAGGTCTGAGTCCATTGTTGTCCTTAGCCATACATATGGGCTTGATCAAGGGTCTAACAATTCGTTCTGAAAAAGTTGCTTTTCATACTTGCAGTTGGTATTAGAATTTCTCACATGCAAAGAGATTGGACAGCTCTTCTGCACAAAGTAGTGTTATAGGACTTTTGTTTTTGCAAATTATTTTGGCTTTCTTTTTACTGGTCCAATTATTGCTTATCCTCCATCTTTCTCTACTCCTTTCTCTTTCTATTTCTAAAACAACTTTTATATAAACAATCACAAAATTAATCATAGAAGGCAGGTGCTTTTTCATTTTTATGGATTGAAGAATATATTCTGTGTAGCACAAAAAGTCCATACACAAAAAAAGAACAAGATGCAGAAACTGTCCAGCCTCTGTGACTATCAGAAAGGACATCTCCCAAGTCCCATGAGCAAAACAACAAAGAAAAGCCACAAACACATTCCAATTCTGTAACAAAATTAAGGGTAAACCAACACCCTTAAAAGTTTGAATATTCTCCAACCAGATATACACACTATCACAAACTTTTAGCCCCCTTTTCTCATAAGAACCATTAGAGTAGACTCTCAAATTTAGTGCTCCGAAGATTTTTATAATTGAAGTCTCACATCAACTATAGATATTGCCCAAATTCAACATGGTATTCAAAGCCTATTGTAGAGCCGATATTGGACCACCACCCTTGACTGAAGAAAAAAAATTCGACCCCCATGAATTTTCCCATTGGAATTAACGTTTCCCTATGGATTTCCCGGTACAACTTACCCAGTCCCACAGCTTTCTACCTGGTCTCGTGGCTTATTTAGTGCTATAATAAAACAAAAAAAAGTCCTATAATTTCCACTCTATAAATGTCCAGTTTTGAGCGTACAGAGGTGTGTTGAAGTCCCAAATCAATTCCAGATATGGTTAAATAAGAGGTTATAAATGCTAAAGCAATTCTCACCTTACAAGCTAGCTTTTGGGGTTGAGTTTGGCTTAAAGCCCAAATTCAAAATTTATCACTAAATTTATTCCTTAAAGATCTAAATCTCATTCTTATAGAGGACTGAACTAGAGACAAAAAAAGGACAAAATTGATAGATGTTTTATACTCTTGAGAGCTGATTTGATGACAAAAATCACAGGTGGCGTACTGTCCACTAACTTGGTCTGCACATGAAACACATTGGGAGACTGGTGCCAGGCCTAGAAGGCATAAATCAGCAGCAGAAATAATCAAGCTGCACTTCATATTTGGTTGAACCCAGCTTTTATGAAAGAATCAAACATTTATAGATTTTCACTTTATCAGGGAGAAAGTTCTTTCCAAGGAAATTGCCATTAAGTTTGTTAATTCAAATGATCAACTCACTGATATTCTTACAAAGTCTCTTTGAAATCATCAAATTTAGTTCAACTCACTTGTGCACACAATTTGTAAGCTAGAGCTTGAAGGGAAATGTTGGAAAGTTTCTCCTATTTAAGGATAATATCTTTTATATAGGGATTGTATTAGTCTGATTTGTATTCTGATTTATTTGTGTAGTTGTATTTCCTGATTTACTTTATTCCATTAACAGTGTTTGTAAATCTTCTATGTATAATAGAGCTTGCTGAGGCTATTTTATTCAAGCAATTCAGAAAATCCTTTGTCCATCTTAAGTGTTAAGAACAATCAAAGAATAAAATAAAGACGAAAAGAAATTCTTCAAAACCACAACCCCACCAAAGTGAAGCTTACATTGAATATTATAGAAAGAGAAATATTCCCAATTTCAATTCCACTCTATTGAGAAAAATCAACTTTTCATGAACTTACAATCGATCTCCGAGGAATCTCCATGATGTTTTCTTTAGTTTCCTCCGAACATCCGATAGGACTGATTCCTGTGCATAGTGCCACCAAATTATCTGCCAACCTTCACATTTTCTTGGTAAAAGACAATGCCAGGGACGAAAACGACCATACCTATATAAATAATGATGAAAATATTTCAAAAAAAATGTACTTTTTAGATAAAAGCAACAATTTCATTTCACGCGTTAGACTTCAAAGAAAAGTGATTTTTTCCCACTTAATAATCATGGAAGGGAAAAGAAACAAACTAATTACATTTGAATAATCAAGGATTTTCATAAGCCATAGAGTAATTAATACAAGGATAAGTATTTACAAAATTCTTGTCTTAATCTATTAACTATAACAACTAACAAGTTAACACTGAAAGTCCGAAACTAATTTTAGCTCTATCAAGGAATTGAAAAATCCAGTCACTGATACAAGTATTAAGTGTTTAATCCTTCTGTTAAACTATTATGTTTAACAACTGAAAGTCTGAAACCAATTTTAGCTCTAACTCAGTTAGCATACTAGAATGAATGGTGCAAGTCATCCATGATCAGTGCTAAAATTGGTTATAGCTTTAAGTACACAGGAATTATATACTTGGTGGAACTGCAAAGTCTTCCTAGATCAACATTTTTGCATCTTATAACAAACGACGAGCCTAAATCAATGAAGGGTATTGCACGGTCAACATAATAATTAAAGGAGAAGTCAATGATATGGAAGCGACAGGTTCTTCATAGCAGAGTGAGGAACTTCTCTGTTGATGCATTTCTTCAATGTTTTTAAGATAGAAAAAAATGGTTCATAAAGAAACATAATTAAGTGAAAAGAAAATAATTGCCACATTTGATTCCTTGCTCTGTGTTTCATCTTATTTCATCTTATATATATCAACGATTCAATATTATTTTGCTTCAACAGCATCTACACATTCATGCATCAAGCATAAGTATGTCCCCAAGGCACTTCTTTAACAGAGCAAAAATAATTGTTACAAGTTTCTGACAATGAACTTACTTTTCTCTTAATCTACAAGTGCAGATATAATCCCACACAAGAAACATGTGTTGTAACTGAACCTCATCTAAGGATATAACCTGATAAATAGAGACAATATCAGAATAATATATAAGCAATGTAGACAGGACAGCAAAAAGAAAAACAGCAATACATCTGTTAAATTGGCAAAATCCATAAGCAAGAGTACCAACCAAACCACTCAATTCAGCAGTGATGGAATACTGAGGAGCATTGTCATCAAGCTTTTGTGATCTGTTATCCTAGAAAAAAGAATGTAATGCAAAGCTTAAGTAGGATAAAAAACTTCCCATGATCTGAATAATAATTAATAGGAATGTCCACCACAATGATATTGATAGAAAGGCAATTTTAAAAAATTTTAGTATTAAATCACACCAGATTAAAGAAATTACAGAAATTTCTTGCTGTCCCAGAGTTCAGAAACTTCTACAGAGATTATCTGTGTCTAGAAGGTTACCAAAAACATGACATAACTGTCCCTATTTTTTCCCACACAAATACTAACAAAAATACATAACTATTCCCCACAGAAATTGTCAAAGGGAAGTTATTAAAACTGCAGCTGTTGTTAAAACTATGTCCTAACATGGCAGTTACCAAAACTGCAGTAATAATTAAAACTATGTCCTATATTTCCTAGAATAAATTTTCCAAATAATTGGTCTTTGTTGGCGAGGTCTGAATCCTGATTCCTATCAGCTATGCATAAAAATAATAAATCAAAACCCAAATAAATGAGCAAGGGGAATGCAATACAACTTTACAGTGCAATTAATGGAAATATGCAGTACATACTCAAGGAGGTTACAGTGTCTGCAAAAAGTAAAAATTGTTATAAGAAGAGTTACAGACTACAGTTACTATAGAAAAAGAAATTTTATTGACAGAAGAGTACAAAGAAAGAGGATAAGATTTCCTCAAAAGGAAATCACAACAAACAGAACACCATAGATTATGTGTGTGTGTGTGTGTGTGTGTGTGAAAGAGAAAGATTGATAGGGAAAGTAAGGATTCTACTAAAGGTGTCCATACCGAAAGAATTAAGGTTATATCACACGGTGCCAATATAGAATTGTGATGTTTTCCTTCTGATGTAATATCGCTTGCTGAGTAGGAGTTACATATACTGTTTGTAATTAACAAGTCCAACTCTAGTGAACTATGAAACATTCTGGAATAAAATTCCAGTCCTTTGACTTCTACAATTTTACATTCATGGCCCACTCTCACCCTTCCATTTGAAGACCTGAAATATAAGAAGAGAGAAGTCAAATATAAGCTGACACATAAATTGAAATCTCAAATCATATTGTTCGATTGTTTAAGCAAGTTTCAATTAATTTGGATTTGTTCACTTACAATCTCCTGCAGGGTACATAAAACTTGAAACATGACAGAAACATTGCAAACACAATACCATTAACAATACTGACAAAACTTATGACTGAATTTGTATTTCAATGCACGTAAAATGGTGAGCATTAGAAACATTAATTGTAATGGGGTGCAGGTAAAAATGTAATATACACTAGTTAATTAAACCAAGAGAAGGTATAAAAATAAGCACCAACAAAAAAGGTGTTTTGGTCCTTTTGTGTGGGTCTATAGATGAGGCCAACTTTTGAACCAAATATTCAAGAGAGTCCACAAAGAAATCATGAAATGAAGACAACCATCCCAACTTTCAAACAAATATTCCACAGCCCATGAAGGGATCCAATTAACCTCTGTTCATAAATCTTCAACCAAAAAAAAAAAAAAATCCCTACTATAAGATGAAAGTAAGAGAGGTTTACCCAATAAGATTTTGCTTCATAGTCAAGCTACTAAACTTCAAACCAAACATAATATGTCCCTGCAGAAACATAGCAAAAATACACACGTGTCATTCAAAAGTCCTTAATACTGACCTTAAAATATGTAGATTTTTTTGCAATTTGCAAGCATTGGAATCTTAGGCAATTTTAAGGGAAAGATAAAGATAAACATACCAGATCGTTCTGCACATCACTGTATAAGACATGAAAATTCCTTATATCTACTTGAATGCTGTCAAGGATCTGAAAGAAGAATAGGGCATTAAGGTTACTGGTATCAAAATCAAAAATCCAGATAAAGCAGAAGTCGTGCCAAGTACGAGTTTCCTTTTTATAAAGAAATTCATTGAGAAAGAAAAGATATATATTACACAGATAGGTGTAGACAAATATCTTCCACGACTACTAAAACAAAACTACAAAGAACCAGAAAAACAGAACTCAATAGTAAGTAACATTGCATAATGGCAGTCCAATCTTTTTACAAATCAGAAATCACTATTTATCTATTTCCTCATCTTTTAGGCACCAAGGTCCAAAAATATAAAAAATGAAACAAAGCATATTTTAACCGTGTATGTGCATGTGTAGTACATGCATAAGAAAAAAAAAAAACAACAATTTTATCCAACACAATTATACCAGCAGTTAAACTTCTACCGTTCTATGCCAATACCTAACAACTTTAAGCTTTACAAAAGATAGTCTTGGCATGGTATTAGAGTCTCTACAGTTAAAGAAATCAAGTTTCATTACAGGAGCTTGGTCATCAACACCAATGAAGAATATGATTGGATAGACACAAAGAAACCAGCCCAGGCAGAAACAAAAATAATACCTAGCCAAAATGATCCTACCTTTGCAGTGACATGAGAAATAAATGATTGCCCAGCATGACTACCTGTAGACAAGAGCTATTAATAAAAACCAAATACACAAAAATTTCAATAAAACAGCATTTTGCTCCAACCCTAATAATAGGTTGACCAGTACATAGATTATTACAGGACTACAGGTCAAAAGATGAAATTAATCTTGTGGAAGACTATAAAAAAATTTCATTATAAAGGAGAGAAAAGTATAAAACCAGTGGAGGATGTCTCCTCTATAGTAAAGATGCAACAGAGTAAAATATATTTATTTTCTCCTAAATCATACGGTTTTATAGGTAACCAAAACCAAATAAAATAGCGATATACAGTAAAGGAATTGAGTCCCCATTTCTTCTTTGACAACATAAGTATTAATCATTATTTGTTCCTCTCCTCCCTTCTGTTTAAGATGGGAAGAAAGTGACTAGGGGAAGATAGGTTTTATATCAATGAAGAAATTGAAGTCCCTTCAGAAAAGGTCAAAGGAGTGGGGGGCTGGACTGTCTTGAGATTTGAAAACTGAAGCTTAACCAAAGAGGAATCCTTACAAAATATTGGTTGCTAAGATGTGTTAGAATTGGGAAGGAATCTTATCATGGCACAAAAAATGGAGAGCAGGTCAATGTTTGTAGTTAAGTAATGAATAAACTCCCACTTAGAGGGATTTGAAGATGGTAGATGTACAGACAACTTTGATTCCTAGCAGAACAGAAGTAAGGGGAGCGACAGTTTTATCAAGGGAGCTGGGGATTATGGATTGGATCATATAGCAGAACAGAATAAAATTATTTTAATAAGGAGGTAAAGCCCTCTTGAGGCCGTCCAAGGTTCTAAATTGATTCCTCCTCTCTCAAATCAAGGTTTGCTAAAATCCAAAGCCTATTGGGAGTTTGATAAGGTAAAGCTACAGGCCCAATGTTTCAATTTGCTTTCTTCCCAAGAAATGACTATATATATGTAAACATAAATCCCAATTCTGCTGGATAACACCTTAAATTGAAATTAAATAACTTACCACACACACGTTTGGATAATTTTCCCAACTCAGCTGCTGCTAGCTTGGCCTTTTTTCCAGCAAACTCTCTTTTTTCGACAGCATCAGCACTCCACTATTACAACATAGAATTGTTAATAAACTGTACAATGTAGTAGTACATAACAAAATAATTTGCTGCAAATGATATGACAGAATCTAAAATTTCTTTGCTCTTTGTTATTTTCATTAATGGTGAGAATTCATCTGATTAGGTTGTCAAAGTTAGAGCTTTTGAAATGGAAGCATAGTTTAACACACAAGCAATTGAATTAAGAAGTACCTCTTGATCACCTCGCTGTGATGCAGAAATAAAAACGTCCTCCAAAATTATTATAATGGGGTCCCAAGGCCTTTTCCATGGAATTTTGATGCTTAACTTCCCAACTCGACCTAGCAAAAAAGTTCAAGCTTTGTTAAGAAAGAGAAAAAAGGAGTCCCTCTGCAGAATAATTTTACCATCCAACTCTAACAATCAACCAATTCATCAAAAAAAAAAAAAAACAGAAACATAAAGTAGAATTATAAATTGAAGGACTGTGATGTGGAGTAAGAAAAGAGGTCTAGCTTTTTGTGAAAATGTTCTGCATTAGCTATTCTGTTTTGCATCAAGTTGGAGAGCAATGCTCGGGTCTTTCAAGGTCTTCTGATATCTGTCGAAGTGATGTGGGAAAGGATACAGTTTTGGCTATTATACACTGTTACTCTTTACTTCTGTTTTTCTGGTTCATTCCCTTATAATAGTTTTCTTGTGGAGGAAATATTATCTTTGTACATCTCTTCTTTCTTAATAAATTTCCCTGTCTGTCAAATAAAAAAAATTGTATATAGAAGAACTTGGTTAAATGTTTGTAAGAGGATCAGGATGAGTCTGCTATACCTTGCTTTAGTGCAAATGGAAGCTGGAGGTAATCAAATGCATCAAGTATCAGCTCCACATTCTCCAATAGCACTTCCTCTAAGCAACAATAAATGATCAACTCCAAAATCAGTTCGCCAAAAACATTATTCAAAAGAAGAAATATTTATAATTTTAAATATTTAATTTTACACTCCTTAAGATTAGTATGTGTATAATCAAAGTACACAATGGAAAGAATTAAACAGAAATGCATACCTACTAATTCTCAAATGTTCATAAGGTTTTTAAAAAAATCCACAAAAAATAATTACATTCGGGAATCTTTATATTTTCAACATTGGAAAAATGGCACAGTGCATTGCCATTAAAATTGGTTCACAAACTAATAGTATTAACACAAGTAATCATCAATTTTTGTCCTTCAAATATACAACATACAAGTGTTACCAGTTTGGTCCTCCAATAATAATAGTTATACACATTTTGTTGGCTTAAATTAACTTCTGCAAGAGTAAGGGGCAGCAGCAATGGTATTAATGTAAACTACAGTGTGAAATGAAATTTGTGGCTCAGTTACAATTTACAAGTAAAAGTCTAAAGCCTCAATTTACAGTTTAGTTCAATGAGCTGTCAAACTGCAATTAAACCAACCCAACATGGTAAGTTCATTTTAGTTTATTTTTGGCAAATTAATATTTTTTTTTCCCTAAAGCTCTCTAAAAATGCTGCAAAAAAAATATTAGTATAACATCAAAATAAAGTAATTCAAAGTTCAAACATGCACTTGGATGCTCCCAAAGGTAAGTATTATAACAGTAGAGAGGATAATAACTACAGAAGAACTACTACTGAGTCACATACCAAGCCTAATCTTCAGCTGCTCTTTCTGGATATCTTTAAAATATCGGCCCAGATAGCCTAGAAGCAACTGATGAACCAGTCCTTCAAACATTGCTGAAGAATTATCTTCGCAGTTGCAACATTATATTTTATTTAGTTCTGCTGAAATAAATTGCCAGGTTAGCAAAATAAAATAAAAGTAGGAAAATGCACCTACTCCCCCTCCCAGCAGCAATCTCCCTCCTAGAAAGCACAAAATTGAAAAAAGGAAATAAGGAATATTACAAAAACCAAAGCAATTCAAGGTAAAAATAGGTGTAGTTTTGGAAAAACTAACCTTTCACTTGCTTAACAGTGTTCAAAAAGTCATTCATGAGTAACCCACTGTCCCATTCATTAACTAAAAAATAAAATTGAGTAATGAGTAGTTAATTTTTCGCAACAAAAAACCTTTACCGTGGACTAATTTCTTGCAACTTTCCTAAAAAAATTCACCGCTCCAATAAAAAGGAAATCAAACTGTAGTCGTTTTTTTATCACCCAATCCAAGTTTTGCAATCCCATATACATATTAAGAGCCCCTTCTTAAGCAACGGATAATTAATTTCATTATAAAACACCCTCCAGGACTGCCATATCAGCAACTTCATGTTTCTAATCAAAATTCAATATCATACACTCCCCTTTAATAGAACGAGTCCAGCGTATTCTTTGCTACACTTCTTTCACAGAACCTCATGAACTCAAACCAAAACTTAGGCACTAATAAAGGGCAGCTTAACTCAGCCAACAACAAAAACATTTAATTAAAAATTTTGTTCCTACACATGACACTTTTTTACATTTTAATCCTTAAAAGAAAACATCCTACATTTTGGTCCCTATGGAAAGACATTTATAAATTGGTCCCTACCATTTATGACCTTCATAAGAGTGTTAGATTTGGTCTCTATACAGGATAATTTTTCTGTTTTAGCCCCTACCAAAAAAAAAAAATTGTCTCGTCTTTTTTTTATTATAGTACCTGCATTAAACTGAAAAATAATACCATTATAACTTTGGCAAATGTCAAGAACCGATATGTGAGCATTTTTTCATGTGAAGTTTTCTTAAATTAGGATTAAAACCAAAAAATGTAAGTCTCAGTTGCATTGCAGAGACCAAAAAAAAACAAAAAACTACAACACAAAACACTAAATGAAACACACAAAAATCAACACATCACTACTGGCTTATATCTTGAACGTCACCTATAGACATTCACAATCAGAATGCATCGGTAGCAATTTAGCAAGAACACCAGTGGTAGCACCTGAACCGTTTTAGCAAACCACAAAACCTCCTTAATTTCTAAACTCAACTATTTCACATTTTAACGTAAATGAAAGAGAATGACCGAGAACACAGTAAATCGCACGGCACGAAGCAATAGAAAATCATCTTGGGAACCTCACCAGAAGACTCAGCGGCGGCGGGAAGCGATAACCGGTCGGAGGAAGAGGAACCCTCCGGCACGGCGATGGCAGTTGGAAATGGAGAAGGTGGTGGTGAGCGATAAGTGATAGGGTTTCAAATCGAATCGAACGCAGCGTTATCTCTCTTCTCGTTTTTTACAGTGACTCGAGGGAGAATCGTCGAGAGCTGAGGGAGAAAAGAGGGGGTTTTCATTTAGCTATCAAGTTCCCAGAATATTTCAGGCTATGACACGAGAGCCTTCAAGTTCTGGTGATGGTTACTGGGAATTAGCATTATGAATTAGGAAACAAACCTGTGTGATCTATGGGTTTTGTTTATTTTTTTAATTAAAAAAATTTTAAATTATATTTTAAATTATTACAAATTTTACATTATAAAAAATCATAATACATTTTTTATTGTTTTTAAAATGAATTAATTTAAATTAAATAGTATATACTTTATTACTTTAATAAATATATATTTATATTATTTGATGGATAGTAAAATTATTAATTATGATAAATTTTAAAAAACTTAAATGCGTTAAGTAATTTATTAAATATGCATTTACAATTGCATGAGTTTATTTATATTTTTTATTAAATTATTTTTAAAAATAATATTTTGAATATAAAGAAATACATTTAAAAAAATTCTAATATATTTTTTATATATCGTTAGTTCAAAAATAAATCAGTATACAAAATAATGCATATACATGTGGTGCATATATAATATGATATTTTAGTTATTTTTTATGAATTTAATTAATCATGTATTAATTATAATTTAAATTATACATATAACATTTAATATAAATATAAATATGAAGAATAATAAATAATGAATTTTAGTGAATTATATGTAAATATAAAGATTAAAAATTAATTAAATATCCATGTGAATAGCACAAATTTGTTTAACATTTTTATTGAATTATTAATATCATTATATTAATTGTAGTTTATTATTTTTTACAAAATATGTCTAATCAATTGTTACTGTTGTTTTTCAAAATTATTTTTTAAAAATATCATTAATTATGAAATAAATATATTAATCTATATTTTATTTATCATAGTAGTTATTTTTTATTTTTAAATTAATTTTTATAAATTAAATTTAGTTAATTTTTGTTATTTTTATATTTTTAGAATAACTTTTAGGAAAAATAGTTACAAATTTAATATAAAAATTTATTTGATTTTATCATATTAATTTTAATATTTGTTTTATAAATTTAAATAATTTAAAAAAATATGTCTAATCAATTGTCAATATTTTTTTCTAATTATGTTAGAAATATCAATAATTATATAACAAATATATTCATCTTTCATTATTTAGTTTGTTATTACTTTTTATAAATCTTAATAATTACTTTATTATAAATACATTATGTATATCATAATTGTTATAAAAATTATGAAAATTTAATAATATTAATTTTTAATAATTAAAATTTATTTATTAATAACATGTATAAAATATTTTTATATATATATATATATATATATATATATATATATATACGGGTATGGAGCGGGGTAGATACCCATACCCGCACCCATCTCCACTAAAATTTACGAGTTTTTACCCACATCTATACTCGTATAGTGGGTAAATACCCAATCTATTGTGGGTAAATTTTGTGGGTACCCATCGGGTACTTTAACCATTGTCATCCCTATATACAGGATTATCACTGACAAATAACTTATGTATTTAGTTTTGCTTATTATTTTTAAGACTTTTAGTTTAGAAAATTATTATATTAAGATACATTTAACATTTATGATTTTTAAATATTTATTTTTTATCTATATTTGTACCTTATTCAGTATTATTATACTACTTATGTAAAGTTATATAAATATATTTTTCTTTATAAATATTTTTTTTCAAAAAATTATGAATAATAGATACAAAATAAGTATGCGAATATTCAGAAATTACATATACGGGATTAATATTCATATCATATCATATGTATATGAGACTGGGTATGGGAATGTGTATTACATTAGCCTAGCCTACCCATTGCCATCCCAAGTTTCTATATACGTCCTGCATTTCTGTCATGCTGACATATGTCTTCCCTGCTCTGTTAGAGACTTATTTCCTTTTAGGCCTGATACATTACTGCGCCTGTTATTCACTTGCTGGCTGTCGGGATTTGTTTATTTTTATTCATAATTTCATCTTCTTCCACTCTTTCCAAATACCAAACGCTCGTACCTTCTATTAAATACCTTGTTACAGCGAAATAGGAATGTGATTTGATGAAGGGCTTGAAACCAGAGAGGGAAGACCCTTGAAATTTCCTCCGAATGGAATGACTGTCCCTGAAATCATGTGATTGTCTTGTCCAAGAGCCGATTCATTGCTTGTATCATGCAAAATTTGCAGCCACAGATGTTTCTGATGGCAAGCTTGATTCATCAGTCTTTCCATTAACAGCTGAAACACAATTATCACTACCACCAATAGCTCTTGTCATGGAGTTTTGATATCCCGCTGACTGACCAATTCCAAATCTAGAATTTATTTTGGCTAAAGAATCTTTAGCAAATCTCACCCCTTTATCACTATCCAAATATTTATTGGTCCCTGTGAAAGAATTATTTGATTGTCTTCCAGTGTCATTATTACTACTACAGGGAGCATCAGTAAAACCAAATTGTTTTAGCATGATAGACTCGCCATCTTTCATCATATTTTCACTAGCTTTTATCTTTTCCTTGGGTTGATTATCAAATTGTGAAAATGGTAAACCCTTGGCCTTGTTGTTGGTTTCTGATCTAGCTTTAGGAGCATCCGAAGCACTAGTGATTGCAAACATATAGCTCTTGGGTTTTAGCTGGGGCTGTTCTTCACCAGTTCAGTATTCTGTAACCCTTCCTTCCTGTTGAGGTCTGCATCTCTAATCATCTACTTCAGACGGTCCAATTTGGAGGACTCGCAAGGGCACTAAGCGGTGGTGGTGCTATAAATGGAACCAAATATCCTGTCTGAGGTGGTTTACCAAGCCCCAGCTCTATATTAGAGGAAGTTGCATCAATGCCCACAAGACCAACCTTTGCATTGTTCTTTATGATGCATTCATTGTCCTTCAGAAGGCTTGTTGGAATTTGTGAAGGAGAGTGGACAGTTGGCAAGTTTCACTTGCCTTTTTAGAGAATCAAAGAAACGAGGTATAGGTTGGCAACCGTCATCCAGTTGAGTTCCAATAAAATTTGGTGTTTTTTGTGTCCCAAAGACTTCAGCTGGTAAGATTCAGAAATTTGAATTGAGGGTCAAGGCTAAGGCTTTTGTAGTATCCGAGAATCTACAGCAAAAGAATAACAAGGAGTCTAGCATAGTGAAGCAAAATAATATTGAATAATAACAATAATGTGCATGTTTTGACGGTGTCTCGTCTTTTGAAGTTTCAAAGTTCTATTTATAGTCTCTGTTTATTTCATAGAATGCAGAGAGAATATTATGTGTGCACATGACATTATGAGCTAATCGGTTATATTTAGATGGTCATAATTTTAAGGAATCCAAAGCATTAGTTTCATGTTCCAACTACTTCGGCTTATTTTTTGGCAGAATGCTAAATATATAAAATAACCTTTTCACCTTGTTCTGTTTTGTTGAAGGATTCCGTTATTACAGACGAAAAGAATTTTTGTATCCTAAGAAAAGGGTATTCTTC